AGGTTGTGGCTGAGATACCTCAACGGGTATCGTCTCAATTGCATCGACCTCAAACTGACCAAAGGTTATGTCGGGACGCGGCTCATTCATTTCAAACTCTTGCGGCTCCACAGGTCGCAGCATTTGCACATGTTCCTCAATGAATACCACCTGTTGGGGTGGCACCTGTTCCTGACTATTATGTGGCGTAACAATAGTTGCCTGTATTTGTTGGGTGCACGTGGTCAGGGGCTCCGCACTTTGTTGCACCATCGATGCGAGAGTAGTTACCACACGATCGAGTACGCTATTACCTGTTGTCGATGTGGTTGCCGGATTTACATCCGTGCGGTACGGCTCGAGCAGATAAGCCTGATCTACAATTTCCGGTTGATAGACAGGCACGTATTGATTTATTTCCGTTTGCCGCTGTTGCTGCTGCTGCTGCTCTTGGGCATATTCCTGCGTGTACTCCTGCGGCTGTTGGGCATAATAGATTTGGGAGGACTCCGTTGTGTATACCGTGGGGTAAGTCTCCGCTTGTGCAACTGGCTGATAGGCCAGCAGCTGGTACTGCGTTGTTGTTGGTGGCACCGCCACAGGCTGATATTGTATGGGATACTGCATCTGCATGATCTGATCATAATAATTTTGGGGCTGTGGCTCGCCACTTGGCTCCGCAACATAGCCCCACTGGCCGCTATCGGCCACATTCTCATACATTGTTTGATATAGCTGTGGATCAGGCTGCAAGTAAGTGGCGGTGATCTCCTCCGCACTCATGGGCACCTCATAGTTGGGCAGCTGCGGCTGCTTCTGATCAAGTTGAGCATAGCTCAGCTCAACGTTGGGCTCACCAATGAACTGGTCCAGCTGCGGTTGATGCTGTTCCGGTTCGGATTGATAAATGTTGGCCGCGGCAGCGCTAGCATCTACCACATCCTGTATGGTTAGATCCGTATGCGGCTGAGCCGCTTGCCGCGCCAGCTCTTCGGCCTGCAAACGCTCCAATTCCATGCCACGCAGAACCTCCGCATAAGATGTGGAACCCGGCACCCATATGGGGCTACGTGAACGCGCGCGATCCTCGTGTGGCAGATAAAGGTGCTGGTGTTGTTGGTGTTGATATTGTTGCTGATGTTGTGGTTGTGTTTGCTGTTCCAGTTGTGTCGTTGCATCCACCTGTATTGTGGTTTGTGGTTCGCGTCTGCGTCTGGGCGAACGTCCACGGCGTTCGGGACGCGGTGGCTGCAATTTCTTACCCGTATTCAAATGCTGCTGATTACGCTCCATTTCAATAAACTGACTGTTGGGATTGCTGACAATGTTAGCCACCGGTTGATCCAATGTTGTCGAGCTGCTGGTCGTTTCAATTGTCATTTGGGTGGCACCGACAACCGGCGTCAATGCTGCATCCTCATAGTCTGAGGTGGCATTGGTGCTGCTGGGTGGTGAAACACGTTGACTCCGCTGATAAAGCACCGTGGTCAATGGTTCCTCTTGCGTTTGCTCATCCTCGTGCGTGCGTACGGTGGTTGTCAATGTAGATGTTGTTGTTGTCGTTGTTGTGATTTGCGTTTGCTGCTGGTTTGAGTCCGTTTGTGGTGGTTGTTGTTGTTGTTGCCTTGTCGTTGTCGTTGTCTGGGTCGTGGTCGTGTCGGGTTTTTCTTGCTTTTCTTGTCGGGGGTTCGTCGCCGTTTCATTACCGCTTACCGGACTCGCATGTCCTGATAACACTTCAGCATAGGTTAGACCTACTGCCGTTGGCTTCATAAGCAACGAGACAGTCGATGAAGTGGTTACCACTGAATGTGGATCCAGAGCATAGGATTGGGCGGCGGTTGCGTCGTAGTTTTGCTGCATGCCATCGATTGATTGTCGCATTGCCTATGCGTTCAGTAACGGGCGAGAGAGATAGAGAGTGTGTGTGGGTGTGTGTGTTTGTGTGTGGGAGAGAGAGAAAGAGATTGGGGGAAGATTTGCCAAAAAACGGTTAGCTTTCATTTGTTTGAAAGAACATGGGCCTAACAGCTACCTAATAAACTGCCTAAGACTGGCTTTTCCTAGTCAAAAAATACTCTTTTTTGCTGTTTCATTTTAAAAATATATAGTTTAATATTTAATCTTTCTTTTCTTTTTTTTTTTTGTAAATTTTCTTAAGCATGTGGGTCATGGATGTTATATATATATATAATATAATATAATAGTTACGGCGGCTCTGGCATGTTTAGCTGCTGCCCCTGCCGCATTGGGAGACTGTTGCAGTGGCAGCTGTAAACGCCGAGAAACGCCGCGGTGGCTGCTTAGCTTTTGCTTTGGTTTTCAATTTCATTTCTTTGGCGATCTAGTCCTAGTATATATGGTATATATATATATATATATATATATGTATACATCTGTATATATATACATATATAATTATGACTTATAAGTACTGTTTTTGCCATAGCTTGCGGCATCTCTAAATCTCTAGCTTAGCATCGTCCGGCGTGCCGCGATGTATTAACAATTTGATGCGCTCATTGCGTGCGGTTATTTTCGAATGCAAATTTTTGACACGTTCACGACATGCCTATATAGATATATATGTATATATATATATAAATATTGAGGGGTGATATTGTTTATGCGTATGGTGCATTGAGAGAGAGAGAGAAAGAAATGTTCGGCGAAGAAGAAGAAGGTCAGCATATAATCATAATTTTGATATTTGTAGGCAGCGAGCATAAATACGCCATAAGATAAAGCAACCATATACCAGGTATATATATATTATATATATATTTTATGTATTTGTAGAAGTACGCAATACCCATGTGTGTGTATGTGATTATGTGTATGTGTGCGTGTATGTGTGAGTGTTACATTGAGGATATTTAGCAGCAGCAGCATCGAGAGGGGTTTGTTGGGGGTTAGTCACATGTTTAGTTTAGCAAAAGGCACAAGAGGCGCAAGCGAGCAAAGCCCAAGAACCCGGTTAGAGATATAAGCATGTATTTCAAATATTAGTAAGAACAATTAATTTAATGTTTATGTAGTGTTTAAAATTTTAATTTTATTTTTTTTTTTCAGCGCAACGACACCAGATTTTTGTTTTTCAATAAGAATGTACGAAGAGAAAAGATAAAAAGAAATACAATTGTCAAAAAAAAATTAAAATATATAAGTCAAATTAAAACCGTAACCATACTGTGTAACTAAAAGATAACTGAGAGAGCGCTATTACGGTAGAGAGTAAGAGAGTAAAAAGAGAGAGAGAGCTGTGACTTCGAGCGGCTTAATGTGAAAATGTCTGCCCGGCCATAAAGCTAACTAGTTGAAGTAAAATATAAAAAGAAAATCATAAATGAGAAATGTCTAAGCGTTAAGCATAATGTGTTTTCTTTTTCTTTTTTGTGCCAGAAAATGTGATGTAAGGTGATTTGAGATGTTATGAATGTACTTTTTTTTTTTTTAATGTGAAAATATGCTTTAATTGTACTTGTGAAAGGTGAATGGAAATAAGTTCTCATAGCAAGAGTTGCCCCAATATGTAGCTACTGTCAATAAAGGAAAAACCCAAAAATTTCTATGGAAAACACAAATTGTTTAAATTGACTTTATAATTTGCCACTTACCGCCGACACTGCAATTCGCAATGTAAACTTAAAACGAAATTTGTTTAAAATTAACATAAACTATGCAAATATAGGCCTGCTATTTCGCATATATGTATATATATATATAGATATATAAACTGTGAGATAATTATTCGCGTTAATCCGGCATTGCTAAAAATAGCCGACTGAATAATGGGCTGGAGAAAAAATGTTAGAATTTCGGAAATATGCTTCTGATTTTTTTTTTGTTGGGCTACCCCCGGCAACAAGAACTTATTTGTATTCTCTAGCATTTATATATATATATTTGATTTTTTTGTTCAGCACGTGACAATGAATCGAAATCGGAATTGGACTTTTGTTTTACAGACACAACAAAGTGTTTCGAGTTTTTGACATGGCAGACATAACAATAATGGGCATCAAAGGCATATATGTATATATTATGCGTGATATGGTATGAGGGCATTCTATATGGATGATGATATGTACTACAAACAAGGCGGATGTGTTTTTCGATGTAGGATGAGCTGCACGGTTGGTATGACATGATTTTTTTTGTACGCAAATTATAAGAACACAAAAAAGAGAGCACAAAAATGAACAGTGTATGTATGTGTGTGTCGATGTATGTGTGTGCGTGAAATGAATGGCATAAATCGAATTCGAAAATAATAAAAACGTAAGAAAAATTTGATTTTTGAGCAAAAACGTAACGAAAAAAAAACTTATATGCCGCATAGAAAGAAAAAAAAAGAAAGAAATAAAATAAAAATTAAGTATACTAAAAGTATAAAATGCGCACTTGAAAAACATAAGGAAATGAAAAGAGTAAAATTGAAAATTGAAAACAAAATGAAAAAGAATGAAAATAAATGAATATAGAACTAAATACGCAGCCACCGTGCAACTTTGGTTTATATATTTTTTTTTATTCCGGACCTATCCGCACAATTTCTTAGCGTTCGTTTTGAATTGTATTATTTTAAAAGTATATTTTTTTTTATTGAAAATTGAAATTGGATTCAATGTGGTCTATGGTTACTTGAGGGTTAATAACTTTTTGGGCCAACAAACTGGTTGTTCTGTCAACTGTTGCATAGCACAAAATAATAAAAAATTGAATCGTTCAATATATATAGTAAGTAGCATGAATATGATGAAAGGGGGATATACTAGATCGAAAATCGGGACATAATCGTACTTCGGCTTAGCAGTTAACAGTTGCTGTTATTTACGAGCTACTATTGAAGGATATGCATATATAATAAATAGATATATCGAGACATTCCTAAACTGATTCATATCATATTCCTGCTCAACTGGCACTTGCTGCTAGCTAGCACCTACTAACTGCTCTAACTGAGGGATGTGCTCTACACAAGAAATCAGATTCAGTTCTGTTTTTTGGACAGTACGTACCTGTTGCTCGGCTAATGCGCGCTCACGATCGTGCGGCAAGTACGTGGGCGCCATGACCAGACGCAGCTGCTGCTCCTCCTGTATAATACGCTGGCGCAGCGTTTGCATTTGCTGTTGATAGACATCGATTTGGGCTAGCGTCTGCTCGAGACTCTGAGATTTGGCTTTGACCAGTTCACCCAGACCATCGAGCACGCGCACCAAATCGTCAACATTCTCGCTCAGGCGCGGATCACCGCCCATGCCGTTGCGGAAGTGTACCTGAAAGATGTGTTGAGCATGGAAACGCATTCCGGATTAGCTATGCAAATGGGGTCACTTACCTCCAGTTTTTCAATAGACAATCTCAGTTTGGTTTTTTGCACATTTATGTCGGCCAGAGTCTTTTCGCAGTAGCCCAATTGATCGCGCAGCGGCTTCTTTTGCTGCGGCGAGGAGTCCAATGTTTGTTTGGTCTTCTCGTGCCAGGCGCGTATGTCCTTGATCTTGCGCTCGCATTGATCCCACTCCTCGCAGGCCTCCTGCAGCAGTGAGTTCTGTTTGTTGGGGAACAAAGTAAAATGAAACAAGGAAAGGATATTAGATCGGTAATTTGAGTTGTCTTGGCGGGTTTACCCTCTCCAGCAGCACTGCTTCCACGGCTATCTTCGCATCCTCGGCCTGTTGCAGCTTATCCTTGAGATCGCCCACGGTCGTCACTTGACCAATGTGTTCCAGTTCCTTATCCATTTCGCTCAAATGCTTCACAATCGGTTTAATACTCTTCACAGCCGCCGCATAGTCGTTTAGCTTGGTTCGCGCCTCGGGCAGGGTGCGCAGCTCAATGGTTTGATCAATGAACGTGCGCTTATCCGCCACCCAGGACATGACAATCTGATACAGATTCATGAACCGTGTCCAGGCGTCGAGGCTATCGCCAACAGCCTGTTTCTTCTCATCCAACCAGCCGCGAACTTGGGCTAGCTGCGCGGCCAGCTGATCAATGGTCGATTGCACCAGCGTCTTCTCCTCGCTGTTGCGACAGTTCTCAATGATCAGCTGACCGTTGGTCTTGACCAGCGTGAATCGTTCATAGATGGCGCCAATTTCCTGATTGATGCGCTGCAGCAGCTCCTTCATTTGTGTCGGCTCCAGTGTGCGCTCCTGCACCTGCACCTCGGCCTGCAGCAGCCAGCGCTGGATCTCATCCACACCGGCCAAATAGTCGGTGCGCACGGTCTTGGCGCGCTTGAAATCCTTCTCTTTGGTCTCCATGGTCACCTGTACGCGTTCCGCTAACAGTTCGAGTGCGGTAAACTCCTGGGCAATATCGCTGGGCAGCTGATTCTGTTTGGTCTGATAGAGCGCTTGGGTTTGCGCGACAAGCGCACGACTCTCCTCGCCGGCCTGCTGCACCTGGCTATTGAGTGTGATGAGGACCTGTTCCGTTTGGGCAATATGCTCGTCGTAGACGTGTACCGACTGCAGTTGTTCGTGTAGTGCGTTCAATTTGTCCTGCAGCTGTGAGATGCGGCGGAACACTTGCTCGATCTCCTCGAGATCCTTGCTAACCTGTTGATCCTTATCGCGTAGCGTATCGTTCAATCTGCAAGGATTCAAATAGAAATGAAAAGAGAACAAAAAGTATGCCCGGGGCGTATTAGTCAATGACGTATCTACAAAGTAGCTGCCTATTATATAGATATAATATGTAAACAGTTTGTGTGTGTCTTTGTGTGAAAACCACGCGGTTCGTCTTTTGCTCTAGAATAGAATTCAGCTACGCGTGCTGCACACAATATATATTAAAAAAATATATATCTTATATATATATATATATGTGTACGAGAACATATATTATAGAAAAGTTCTTTTCAAATAATCAGCAAATGGCTGAAGTTGTTCAATATTTTTGCTGGGGCTATTCAGAATTTTATATATCCACTGGGCTGGGGCAGTTGTTGGCCTCGAGGCGCTGCGAAGATTTCCGTGAAAATGAATGCTGCCGTTTGGCTACAAGAGAGTTTACTAAATGAATAGCAGTGCCGAAAATTTTGACTACAAGGCATGAAAATATTACGAATTCGAAAACGTGTACGAATTCGAATTTCTATTTGATATATGGCACATGATTCGACAATGCCTTGGGAGAGCGCGTGCTCTGCTTTTCAGATTTTCGAAAAGATTTTCTTATTTTTGTTTCTAATTCGTATATCTTTCAAATCTGTTATTATTATTGCTATTAGTATTATTTATGTTGTACACGCCGCTGGCCTGCTTAACGGCTGCGTTTATTTTTGATGCAGACATTTATATTTTTAAACTTGTATTTATGTTTATTTATTCGCCAAGTCCAACCGAAACTTGGTCAAAGCAGACGAGCTGCAGCTGACGTCATCGGACATGCTGCAAATTGCAAATGAGTCAGTGAACAATCTCTATTTGCCTTCCACTTAACGTATCTTTTCTGCTTCATTCCAGATCGTAACCCTCATCTGGCTCGTATGGAGCGCCATGTGGGCGCTTAAATAATTTCAACAAGTGTTTTCTCTCTCTAGGCAAAAGTTGTTGAAGGCAGCAATTAAAAATAGGAAAGCAGTTTAGGTCGTGAGTGCACAAATTTAATGGCTGCGCGTTGAAGGACGCCGTCGCCTGATGCCCTTTACAGCAGCAGCAGCAGCAGCAGCAACAACAATTGAAACGGAAGAGCAACGCGCCTTGAGGAGGCCAAGTCAATACATTTGGCTGTCGGCCAATTGAGGCTGTATACAAATTTTCGAAAAAGTTTTTAGCACATTAATTGTAAAACAAGAGCAAAAAATATTAGAGCCCAGGCTGCTCAACTGGTAAATACCCCATACAAGGCCAAGAACAAAATATCGAAAATAAAACTGACCTGTCATATGGGAGAACCATCCAACTGTGGGTCTCTAGTTCTTAAAAATCTAGCGAGAAATCGGGGCAATCACAAAAGACTAAAAGGACGGAAATTGATAAGGAACCATCGAATATTCAAGTTCAAAAAGCATAAAGCTCTTTTGATAAACTCTCGCTTAGTCTGGAATAAACTTTTGTTGTTTAAAAGAAAAGAAAATGGAATTGGAAATACCAAAATAAACCAACTAGAGCAGCGTCTGGTTCGTAAGAGTTCAACGCATTTATGATTGAGCCAAAGAACAAAGTTAGGTTGAGATGTCTGTTGATCTCGATCAGGAATATATAGAAGAAAAAACGTTTCTCACAATTTGAAGCTCTTGCTCGGTGTAAACATTAGACTCCCTAAAAATCTCAAAAGAATAAATCCCATTTAGCCTAGTTAACATCATTTCATGCCCCTTCTTTAACGGTTGCAGGGTATATAAAATATTCTAATAAATTCAACGACCAAATAGAAAACGTTATAAAATAAAATACGATTTATGTAGAATTTTTTTTAGTTTTCTTTCGCTGTTTGTTTTTTCCTGCTGCTATTTTGAGAGCCGTTTGCCATTTTACTATGGTACAAATTAACGCATTAAATTTAGCAGATATTTTAAATTTAAATGGCAAACTATGCTAGAAATGCGAGCGCCAAAAGTGAAAAGCGAAAGCAACAGCGACGCGTGTTGTTATAAATACGTATGTTTAGGCAAAAATAATAAAGAAAAAAAGAAAACTAAGAAGCTTGGCGCACACAGTTTGATCAATTATTGTAATTGAATGTTTGTCGATAAGAATTTTGAGCGGTTTTCGCATGATGTTAGCTATTTTTGATATGCGAACGACGTCATCAAATCAGAGACACGCGCCGCAAAAGCAAAAACTCTCAATAAAAACAGCGACAGAAAAAAAAAATAACGAATAGCAACAAAAACAACACCTGACGACCTCGCCAAAGACCGGACCCGAGGCCCGGACCCAACCCCGGTACGTAGCCGGCCCGAGATTGAGGCTGTTTTTTGCATACTCTTTAGCCGTCCTCGATGACTTAATCATGGCAAACGGCGGGGCAACGTTTAAATAAAAGTGTCTTTAATAAACATTCACCTTTTGCTTTTGACGACGTCTTTTTGGAGAGTGCGTGTTAGCAATTAGCATTCGCCTCTTTCTCTTTTCCTCTTTCTCTTTCTCTACTTCTCTAGCTTCTCTACTTTGTGTGCTGCTGTCTTTTATTGTTTTTTGGACAGTTGTTAGCGACAACAGTCGCACCTCCTGACTGCGGAGGCAGACGTGTGCTTAACAATTGTTAACTTCTGCTTCTTCTTGTGCTTATTTGTTTTTTTCTTTTCTTTTGCTTAAAACTTGAATTTCTTGCGAAATTCAGCAGCTAAAAAGTTTACTCTTTTAATTGCGTATACGCCTGGTAATCCACAAAGCGGCGTTTTCGAGTGCAGCGCATGAAAGAACATAGAAAGAAGAACATGACGTATATTATTTCATTTTGAACGCTGCTTTAAACAGCTGCACCGTTATTTGAGTTAAATACTTTACTGTTTTTCTCTTTGGGCTGTCGCTTCTTTGTGTTTTTGCTGCTTCTATTTCTACTGCTTTTTAATTAAATTGTATTTTATTTGATTTAAAAATATGCGTCTATATATATATATATTTTATGCTCGGGCGGTCGCTTCTTCGTATTTAGTTTCCAGCCATCCAGTTAAAAAAAAACACGTCCGCTTGCAACTAACTCTAAATAAAAACTAAAATATTCTCAGCCCAGAAAATTGCCAAAAACGTTTCAGCTCTGCCGCCGTCTCAGTCGGCGTACGTGCGAGCGATCAGCGTTAACAGCGGAATGCGAGACGGAAATAAAAGAACGAAAACTGCTGTTACCGCAACTCACCACAGTTGCACACACTCACACACAACTACGCACTCGCCTGAGAGTGAGAGGGAAAGGGAGAGAGAGAGGCGAATAATTGAATAAGTTTGTATATGCGCTTGGCATTGAACATGAGGCGAAACGTAAGGCAAAAGTTTGCCTTACTCATTAGCCAGACAAAATTCGCCGCTGATTTCAGCTACCAAATATGCCGCATAGCCTTAAAGCGAAAATCCCCGAAATCGAAAACTGAAATTCATAACTGCACTCGCCTATAAATACATATATATATATGTATGTGCATACACATATACATATATTGTATGCAGGGAATGATAAGGCAAAAACAAATCATTTTTGCCGGTTAAGATAAGCGGGTCTCGTAAAAACGCCGGCTGGCTATCAATGACAGCGACCAAGCGAGAGAGAGGCAGAGGGAGCACGCGCGCGAGAGAGAGACAGCGTGCGCGGCGAAACGCAATGGCATTTGGAACAGCCAACAGCAAGTCAGTTAACAGCGCACTGTTAACAGTGCGAGCGCCGGCCAAGGCAAACAAAAAATACAAAATAAATTTATAATTACGCGATTACCTCATTTGGGCAACGTTTTTGCTCTATTGTTGTTGTTGTCGTTTGATTGTTTTCTCTTCTCTCTTTTTGTCGTTGTGCAAAGTGACAAATTGTCAATGCAAATGCTTTGCTTCGTTTTTATGGTATGCGTGTATTTCTAGTTGTATTTTGATTCTATTATATTTTTTTTCAAGCCACTGAAGAATGTTTGATTTATAAACAATTTTTGAGTGTTTGCACTGCAGCAATTTAACTGGAATGCCCTGCTTATTAGTTTTTTTTATATTTGCCAATATCTTTTGCACGTATTCCTACTCGTACAATGCCGATGAAGTCAGCGATAGGATTTCCGTCTTGTTTACTTGTTTTTATTAGCCTGTTGCTTTTTTTTACCATTTTTTTTGTTCACCTCCTTTGTATACCCTTAAGACTCTTAATATCAACTTCAGCAATTGCTATAAGCTATTGAACGCCAATATTTAAATGTGTTCTCTTAAATTTTGTATAATTCTTTTTCTTCCCCAAATTGCGCTAATGAATAAAAGCTTATCTAGAATACAAACAAATATTATAATCGCCTGGAAATACACGAAATGACTTTTTAAATGAAAAAGGATTACGCAACATTTAAAGTATTATTTGGTTTTTTTTTGTGTTATTTTTTGGAGAGTTGATTAGATTTTTGCATGTTCGCCAGCCGAAAGTAAATCTCAAGTATAAATGCATCAAAATTTGCGTCGCAGTTAAGGAATATAAATATAATATATGTTCATAGTTGGGAATATATAATTGTCGATGACCAAACATTGGGGTATTAGATCATTTTTGGTTCGATGATGGCATTGTCAATTTATTTGAGGCACAAAAATGACGAAATGAGAAATTATTTAAATCGCAGCATGTAAATTGGGGGAACAGAACAAAACAGAGATATTTTACAAACGAGACTTGGGAGAGAAGAGAGTATCTGAACTGTTTACTGTGCGAACTTTTTTCTCGAATATATATAAAGTTAATTTATGTTTGCAACACTTTGCACTTGCTCCTAAAATATATTTACTGCTAAAGATAAGGTCAAAAACACATTGAAACTTTCTTTATAACCATTTCAGATGCAATAATTCAAGCTTGACATAATGTAAGTAAAATATATATAATAACTTTCGATAATTAGATCAAAACGCATTAAATTTTAATTGGTTTCATTTGCTTTCATGAAAAATACACAGCTAGGAACAAGACTTGAATATAAAGTATATCTATTAACAGTATTTACTTCGTTAAAAAACTGACCTGCAGCTGAATATATTGATTCAAATAGAATTCTAGATTCTAATCGCATAATTTATATACATTTTTAAGCTTTAAAGTATGGTAAATATCTCCTTCTGTTAATTTAAAAAAGTTTTATGACTAAAATTCCCTGTGTTAAGGTATAATAATAATTACGATTTAGTACACTTGACTAACAGCTGTTTTACGTTTGATAACAGCGCTCCATTTACCCACCATTAACGGTAATTTTAACGTTAATGCAAATGTTAATTAAATGCATAACAGCTGTCAGCCACATTAACTTTATGTACAAGTGTTGTAGCCCTTAATATATGAGTTCAACTGATTTTGTTGTTGTCAAAAGTTAATTTTTAACGTTTTACCCCTTGATTATGAAAATGGAGCTGCCTATAGCTTTGCTAATGAAACATACTCAAAACCATCATCACAAACTATAATACAATCAGGTTTCTCTTCTAAACCAATTTCAATTACAATTTTACGGCACTTCAATTGCCAGTTTAGAGGCCTAGTTAGTAGCTCAGATAAATGTATTCGATCAGATAACGTCATAAAAATATTATCGCACGACTTTTCGGAAACAACGCAAGAGATTTGGCTAAAGACATTAGGAAAAACAAAAAGAAATCAACAGCTGCTGCTCTCGTTTTTCATGAAAAGTGCAGACCGCGCCTGTCAGCCAAATAGCCGGATGAAACAAATGTGTATAAAAATAAAATACAAAATAAATTGACGCTGAAAATACTTATAAACACATGTCTTGGGTGAAAATTTGTGTCAGTGCTGCATTAAGAAAGGCCGCGGCATGTTTTCTTTTTAGGTTTTTCTTGTTTTTTTTTTCATCTTTTCTTTTCTTTTTTATCATTTTTTCTCATACTTTTTTTCTTGCCAAGCAAAATGTTTACGTGATCGCCGACCACACACATCTGTTAATGCGAGTCGTGGTGAATTTCGACTACAATGAGCAGAGAACTTTTACTGTTAAGGCGCTATTAAGACCAAATGTTGATGGCAGGGCGCAAATGTTGCCGTCGGCATGTTGCCAATGGGAAACGAAATTCGCTATGCAAATGTATGCCTGTGAGTGTATGCATATGTGTAGATACTGAAAAAAAAGGCAATTGACAAATTGGCAACGTTTTGTTTTTTGTTTCTATTTTGTTGTTTTCTTTTCTTTGTGACAAGCGCCGTTCAAAAGAATTTCCGCAAAAAACAATCAAGTTTTTTAGCCTGTTATCAACAAGAGGTCTATATAAACATATCAGGGCGGCAAGCGCAACAAAATTTGTCATTGGTTCGGTTTACGGTTCGATTTAGATCAAATCCTTTAGGTTCGTGTTCACAGACATGAACCCAGTTATGGATTTAGAACTCGATTATCGTAATATTGTTAGTTAAACTGAAAATAAACTTTGAGATCTACCCAAGATTAGGCTCTGCCAAAAAATTGCTAGATACATTATTTAATTGGAGCACAAGTTATAATGCGATATGGGTCTTCCTCAAATGTAATTTATTTTAATTAAATAAGAATGTACTAGCAGAGGATTTCAAGGAACCCGAATTGTGGAAACTTTGGAATATCTCATAGAGAACTCTCGAGTACTCACACTAAATAAGAACTAAGCCCCACATTAAAATTCCAGATCGAAAACTCTCGAATACGCACACTATATAAGAACTAAATAGGATGTGACTAACAAACTAACCTATAATATATGTGACGCGCTGAATAGTAAAACATTGTTAGCGCCAACTTTTGTCTATTATCGTAAATGTCTTCGAGAGGCGAACCTGCAGATAAGGTGCAACGCTTTGGCACAGTTAGCTGTTATCAGAGGGCGGCATGCCCACCGTCTGTTGAGATGGCCCGTTGCTAATACATATACATATATGGGTAAAAATACTTATGGCCAGTACTCTTTGAAATGGAATGAACTCAACTTTTCTCAGAACTCCCATTTTAACGATGCCTCAGAAAACAAGACTTATGTAAGCCCCAAGTCGAGCCGCAAGCCGAGCGTAACCGTTGCAATGACGTCAGTTGGCAGACAGACAGAGGGAGGGAAGGGGCAGAGAGAGAGAGAGAGAGAGTTGAGCATGAAATTTCGAGGGCTAAGCTGCTCAGCGAGCCGAACGCAACGCTCACTGATGTCACAAGCACAAAAGCAGGCTGTGATATAAGCCGAAAAAGTCTGCGACTGATATGCTGCTCTTCTAAAATAGATATGCTCTTGTGTTGCTTAAAATAGAACCCGTTTAAATGCTGCGAGATAGTATTGCCTGCCGATTGCCAATAAAAAATAAATAAAAACTAGTTAATTAACATTAAATGCAAATCAATTATAGAACGTTTATTTATGCAGCAAACGAAGCGAAATCGATTTCCGGCGTTAACATTCCGATAAATTGACCAAACGTCACGCACAGTTTCACCTAATGTCTAAATATATAATGAAAGAGCGGCAGGCAGCTGTTTTAGTAGTTTAGTACACACACACATATATATATATATATATATATATATATACTTGGTGGTACTTTCATCAAATTAAGCTGTCAGTTTTTCAACCATTTTATTTATTTTTTTGTTAAGCGTCTAAAATAACTTTCCAAGCCCAACCCAAGAAAGTTGAACTTTCGTCTGTAAAACCGCAATGCCCACTTTCCACGCAAGCTCGTGGATTTTGCGCAAAGCGTGAAATACGAAACGTTTTCATGTGCGAGTATTTAAGTATTACATTGATATCTGAATATTTTGAGGACAATCGAATGACAAGTAAAAGTTTAATATGAACGCTTTCCATTCAATTTAGTGAATATTTTCACGCCGTTAAAAAAAAATTAATTTCCACCCTATTTCCACCTTTTTTGATAGGCATTTTGTAAGGCGTACAGGGTAATATCTCTATGTATACATTTATAAATAATGTTGACTCTTTTGGGTACTCACTTTGATTGCTGTTCGACTAACTTATCCACTTTGGCCTGTATGGCCTCCGCCGAGGGTTTGTGTACTTCCCCAAGGAATGTGAGGATGGATTTTGAGAGCGCCTCGATTTCTTTATGTGATGATTTAAGTTCATTTGATTCTTCACGCAGTTCCTGCACAAAAATAATGTATACACTCTAATTAGCAAAGCCAACAAAGAAGCACCAAAATACACTCAATTTTGTTATTTTTTCTCGATCGAACGCAAACGAAACAAATAAAATTTACTCTACGTTTTAATTCAATTCCAGTTTTTTTGGGGCCGCTCAAATCAAACGAAGGTTAACACCATAAAAATAAGAAACGTTGACTTGACTTAAAAGCCACATTTCGTATGAGGTGTACAAAAAAAAAGAGCATGGACAACATAAAATGTTTGCGGCAGGCACAGCACGAATAAAAATGTAAATAAAATAAAAAATACTCAAAAAGATAAGTGTGTATTTCAATAACTACATAATGGGGAATTGTTATTTATTTTTTTAATTTTTGAGAATTTGTGCGTATAGAGATTTGTATATGGCGCTTGTATGACAGCATCGTCAATGGAATCCAATGCAATCCAAATGCAGAGCCTGATAATAATTAATTTTCAATTGCTTTTTATTTAAATTATTCATTCTATAATTGTTCAATATAGAATTCAATTGTTTAACTTCATAAATTTAAATTGCAAATTGAACTTTAATTATTATGAATATTCTAATTTCGTGTATTAATTTCCAGTTCAATCTATTATACAATTCAATATATGAATATTAATTAAAAATCTATTGAAACCGTCTTTCCAAATATTAACTAATTTATTCATAATTAGTTCGTCCCTAATGTATTTATTTAATAATTATGCCATGTTTAGCTTTTGTTAAATGCTTCGCTTTAAATAACTTGAGCTATATTTAGCTTGAAAATTGATAAGTTTTTCTCTTTACATTTAACGCAATCAACAAAACTTATCGCACACTATGAAGTCATGCCAAGCGACAAAAAAAAAAACAACAACAACAAATCAGTCACATTGTTGATAACAAAAACAAAACTCGTAAAGATGCTTCTAAATGCTATTTGCGTAAACAATTCACCACAGTTGTATAACAGGGCAAACACAATTTGCATATAACAAATGTTAAGCTGTGATTAACTGCGAACAGATCATTAAAATGGGGAATAGAAAAAAATATCCCAAAGAAATTGAAAGTTTAAATGTTGACTTTTGTTTTTGGCTTTACATAGTCAATCAATAACAGTTTGGACAGCTGTTAAAGAGCGGGAGAGCCAAAGGCCTGCTTTAGTAAGAGAGCGCAAGCTCTCTGTCAACTTGGCGTGACCATGAACTTGGCGGCGGCATAGTGTTTAGATATGTACAAACTTATATAAACATATACTATATACATATACATATAAACGGGCAACAGTGTGCGTGCATATATGAAGTCAGACATTGGGGAAGGCAACTAAATGAATGAATGAATCTACTAAGTATTAGTTGCATGTATACACATCTATACAGACACATGTGCGCATAATAAAAATAATAATAAATCAATTAAGCTAGGCCTAGCCCAATGAGCTCATGTGCCCAAACACAGGCTCAGCAACATATTTACAGTAATGGCACACTTGACAGTGCACTGTTAACTGTGGCTGTTAACTCACCTGAATGGCATTCTTTGTATCTTCCAAATGACGTCGCGACCTTACAGTTGGATCGACATTTCGGAACTTATCCTCCAAGCGACCTAATGCCTTCTCCCAGCCGTGCAAGCCGTTCTCAAAGCTATCCCAATGCTCGGCCAACTGTTGCAACTTGTCGCGCCTCTGCTCCAGGCTATGCACCAGGTCCTGCCAGTCACGGTTAAGGGCAGCGTTATCCTGCTCAATCAGTTGGCGATTCCGTGCGTCCGCTTGGCGTATGAGCGACTGCGCCTGCTGATTCACTAGCGACAGGTCACTGTTTTGGCTCTGCAACAACAACAAGACCAACAAAAAGCATAACAATAACAACAGCGGTTTAACAGGAAATGTTAAAATATTTCAATTTTGATTTGCGGCAGCAGATTTATGTACACAGATTGGCTCGTTGGATTTGCACAATATAAACTTATGTATTAGAAATGATATAGGTATATAAGGAAAATATATGTAAATATATATATACATTTATATATATAGTAGTAAATATATATAACTATATGTATGCATGTATAAAGCTTCCGAATTACTGTGTATGTGTATGTTTGTTTGCTTTTTGTTTATTGTCTTTTTTTACTTTTCGAATATATTGAGTTATTACTGTAACGCCGACTGCGGTTTTACATCAAGTTTTGTTTTTCTTTTGACATTTTGTAGCTCAACTTTGACATATGCGTATGCCTGTGCATGTGGCATATGGATTTCGAGTATCTTCGAATTTCTCACCTCGACACACGCGCTCGTACGTATCTACTGTAGCACTTGAAAGTATCTTTTGTTTTTCTTTTATATAAAACTATATACACACATATATGTATATTGTATTTCTTTAACGGATTTTTTTGCTCTTCTATTTCTTGTTTGTTGATGACGTTAGCTTTAAATACGTTTGCTGTCTGTTTTGTCTGCTTCTTCTTCTCTCTGTCTCGCTCTCTTTCAATTTGCGCTTTTCAAGCACATGGCATTTTTATTAGAACGTTCGAAAGAAACAACTTATTCAAATTTAACAAAGCTTTGCGCACAAAAACAAATATAACACTATTTTTTTATATTCTGCTTTTGCCTTTTAATTGCTTTTGATTTTGATTTTGCTTTTGTCGCTGTTTCTTCACTTAATAAGCCGCATAAAACACAGGCAACCGCTCAGTTAAACGTCTCAACTAGAAGTGAATTTCACAAAAAAGCACGGCATATGCCCAAGCACGAGTTAGAACCAACTAAGAGAGCCTGATTGCGGCAGAGCGGCAGCCTGCCAAAGAGCGCCACTAAAAATGAGACAAGAGAGGGTTGCGACTGTGCGGCCAATCGCAAAAAACATGTCGAATGAACACGTTTTCATGTGCACAATGAGCTGAGAGAGGGGGCAGGTCGGTGTGATGGCTTCGCCGGCCTTAGGCGTGGGCAGTGTCAGGCAATATTTTGCTCTTGACTGCGTCACACAGCTCACCAATACACACACACACACACAATATCACGCATACGCCACCATTACTATCTCAACTGGCCACAAGCCGGCATGCCAATGGGCAAACAGCAACAACAAAACAGCTGTCCACAGAGAGCCGAAAACGAAGTGCGCTCTTAAAGCTCGCTCAGCGCTTGGCGAACAAAAAAAAGTTGCTAAACATGTGTTTGTTGATGCCGCACAACGTGGTTGCCAAAAGGGCTGGGCAAAGGGCATAGCGCATGTTTGCATATTGTAATTAAACCTTTTAAATAATAAAAAAGAAAACTAAGTATTTTTTTATTTTTAGAACTACTAAACTATCTTAATGAAGGTTTTTAATTGCCTTACAGACATTTTGTTTATATTGATTGCGCAGCCCTAGCGAAAAACTGGTTTATATTCTCTGTGGATTTGCTGATGATGTCATGAGCTCAACTGAAACAGCTGGCCTTAAAGCATATGTACATATATGTATGTATATGTATGTGTTTGAACTATGTTGGGGCAACAGCTATGTTTGACAGTCTGAATAGTCGTTGATAAGCTTAACAAGTGCAGGTTAAAAGATTAACTCATTAATAAGTTTTCAAGGTGAAAGGCGCAGACATAACGAAAGTAAACAACTATTCAAAGTTTGCTCAAATCTAAGAGAAAGAGCAAGAGAGAGAGGGCGTCACAAAAGAGCGCACACGAGAGTTTCAGTTAAAGAGCGGACAATGCAGCTAAAGTTTATATTGCTTTTGCCGGCCGGCAAATCGTACGCGGAGCCACAGACTGCACTCTGTGTGAAAGTCATCTGCAGATACATTCAAAAAACAAATGCTGCAGATACATATTCCTGTTTTACAGTTTTATGAAAGATATGCGTTGTGTCACACTCATTTAAACAGGTCTTTGCTGGCCATGGATATTTCAACATAAATATGTATACGAAGGTTGCAAATTCATACAATAAAGGGTTTAAAAGAGACTTTAAATCCGATTAATTGCCAGGCTTTTAAATAATTCTGACTCATCTGGTAAATATTACATTATTACATAGAGCTGATGTAATATTATGTGTTAATTAATTCTCAGCTATACTCTCTATATTTAAAACTGTTTGTCCTAACTAACTGATTGGCGATCAACGCACAGTCCAATCCGTAAGAGCTAGAAAGCTGAAATTTTCACTGTAGTTACTTTATGTGATGAAGGTGCAACTTAAAACGGAGTTTTGGGAAATTCCACCCGTATGTGTGGAAAAATTTCGAAAAACGTTTATATGAAACGTTTTTGATCGGTTTAAAATTCATTTTCAAAGATCTTTGAGAGAATTTCTTTTAAACGTGCCACGGGCAAGGTGTCAACATTATTCTTTATCAAAATTCATGTGAAAATACATACATACACATATATACATAAAAACACACACACATACATACATACATACATACATACATGCATACATGCATACATGCATACATACATACATATGTACATACATACATACATACATACATACATACATACATACATGCATACATACATACCTACATACCTACATACCTACATACCTAAAAGCCTAAATACCTACATACCTAAATACCTACATACCTACATTGCCACATTCCTACATTCCTACATACCTATAAACATACGCCACCTCCTCCGCCCCCTTGGTGCTCCTCCTCCAGCTACTCAGCTCCCAGCGTTGAAGCCGCCTGCGCCTAATTCAGAGGTAAGGCCTGCAAGCCTTACTTACATTTTTGAGAATCGAGGAGAAGGGCAGCGTTAATAAATACGTTTTCCTATTTAAATTTTCCGCGCAACAAGACAAATTGGTCTGCTATTGCTATTCTATAAGGCAATTTACATACATGCATGCATACATACATATATACGCACATACATACATACACACACATACACAAACATTCACACACACATACATACATACATACATAAACAGATACACACATTCAATCATGCAGTCATACATGCATTCATATATATACACTTGCGTACATTCATACAAACATACATACATATATACGAAATCAATTTTTCATCTAAAAATGGTACCCTCAAATATTCATAGGTAGAAATTTCCCAACCCCATAACTTGGTGAAATCTCATCCGATTTTAACGAGGCTTGGCTCTTTGTTCGTGGTTTAGCCTCTAGAACAATATGGCATCTTAATCTCACAACATTATTCTTGGTCAAAATTAATGTCGAAATGTTACCCTCAAATATCCTATATAGACATAGGTCTGACCTTCCACCCCCATAACTCGGTCAAATCTCATCCGATTTCCACGAGGTTTGGGTAGTTGTTCATGGTTTAGCCTCTAGATTAGAATATAGGATCTAAATATCACATTACTCTTTTGTTTGTAAATATTATATGATGCTGATATAATATTATTAATTTATTTATCCTCAATTAAAACGTAAAAGCCTAGGGATGATGCGTTATTTTAATAAAATAATTTGTCTAAAATTGTCATATTTAAATAAAATTTGTTATAATTTAAAACAAATATTTGACCTATGTACACATTTTATATGTTTTTTGAATATGTCCTTAAAGCTTTGAAAAATATTTTAAAAAAATCTCTCCTGTACAAAGACTACACTAAACTGATAATAATAATGATATCCTGACCAAACTTCCTTGCTGTCGATAAATTGTATAAGCTTGACACTTCTATATTATATAGCTCTCATAGGAACGATAGTATGAAAAATTTGATAGTATAAATAACGCGGAGTTTCCCCTTTATCCCCTCTAGTTTTTGCTGATTTATTAAGCTGAACAAAGAGCATAGACTCTGTGAGTTCGAACAAAATATATAATATGCTGTTTTTAACAAACTTTACAAATTTCATAAAAATTGCCGAAATTACGGAAGAATTTAAATTAATTTTTTTAAGTCTCACAGAAATCAGAAATTAAATTTATAGGCATCTTAAAGATACTCCTGATAATTAATTGATATAAGATATTATTGGCTAGCATAGAAGATAAATTTGTTTATTATGTTCTTGCTCTAACGACTTATTTAAGTATACATATCTGATATTGTGCAAACATTTCGGACAACGATTTTTATATGGGGCTAAAGCAGATGCAAATATTTGACAATTATTTGATTAGCTCACCTGTACATTGCCAATGGCATGCGACAACTTCTGAATATTAAAGTGCAGGCCAGCCAGATTCTGGACGGGCTCATCGTTGAACTTGGTGCGCTCAATGGTGGCCTTGACGCGATCGATGGACTGTTGATATTCGCGCCAGCGTTCCGCTTCCTTTTCCAGCTCGCTTTGCTGGGTCTTGGCATTGGCCAAGGTGTTGGCCAGCTTGGTCTGGAACTGTGTCAGCTCGGCCGACAGCTCGGACTGTTCGTAGCTGTTGAGCGAGGACCAAATCTTGTCGGATGCCTCCTGGATTTGCTTGTGCACCAGATTGCGTATGGGCGCCTCGTTGCCAAAGAAGATCTTGTGCTCGTCCAGATCGTGCATCAGATGCTCGTAGTCAATGCCATGCTGACTGTTCTGCAAGCGCAGCTCAGCCTCGTGCACCCAATCGTTGAACTTGGCCACCAGCTGCATATACTCCAGGCGCGAGTCGCGATTGTTCTTCAAATACTTTTCGCGCTCCTCCAGCTCATGAGGCAGCGAGGCGACCAGTGAGCGACCCTCGGAGAGCATTTCCAGCAGGGAGCTGGGCATGCCCACATCCGTTTTGACGCTCTCGTTGATTCGATTGAACTTTTGCAGTTGGGCATCGATGTCCTTGCTCAGGGCGTGATGCTTCTGGAGTTCGCGTTCCACGGACTCGGGATCGCGATCGAGCAGGGGCCGGGACTTGGCAATGCCTTCATTGTTGTGCAGCCAGTCGAGTATTTCGCTCAGATCGGCGGCCATCTTCTTGTGAGATTCGAGCTGTAGCTGATGCTTCTGGCGCTGCGATTCCACGGCCTTGCGCAGGTTCTGCAACTGATTCTTCAAGGATTGCAGCTGCTCGGTGATGCTGTTCTTATCCGCAGCATTGCCCTCGGAGGCAATCTTCTGGCCCTTATCGTTGGCCGAGGCCAAGAGGCCCTCGCATTCCTGTATCTTGACAATAACATCGTCATATTTATTGATCTTATCCTCGAGGCTGTCCGGTGAGTTCTCTATGTCGATAATGACATCGGTGTACTTCATAATGAAGGCGATTATCTCATTGATCAGGGCAATAAATTGCTCGCGCAGCATCAGCAGCTGACGCAGATGCGCCAACTGATCCTCAATCAATTTAATCATATCGTCCTGCTGTGTGAGAATGCTCTGCAATTCGGGCAGATCATCCATTTGCATGTCGCCCATCTTGTGTTTGCTATCCTTCAGCTCCTTCAGTATGCCCTCGTAGGCGCCCAGTAGATCCTGCACATCCTCGATCCGGGAGCCAATGGGTCGGTTCAGTTCGCGCATGCGCTGCTGTATGTTGCCCAGGAATTGACTGCAGTCGGCCAGTCTGTTCTTGGCGTCCTTGTACTTCTTGATGTGATCACCCAGCGCGTTGACGCGATCATCGATGGTCTGCTTGATGCGTCCATAGCGATCCTTCATGTTCTTGATGTCATCGTTGAGCTTCAGCTTGTCCGCATTGCTCAGCGTGGGCAAAATGCTCTTGCCCTGCTCGGACACATCGTTAATCAGTCCACCCATATTGTCGGCATTCTGCAGCAGCTTCTTGTAGTGGGCCAGCTGCTCCTCGAGCACCGGCAGGCTGGTGGTGCGCAGTTCACTTTCGGTTGCGGTTTCCATTTCGTTCAGCCAGTCGCCCATCTTTTTCATTGAGTCCTCGAATGCTTTGCGACCCTGCAGCAGATCATCCAAGGACTTGCCACGCTTGCCGCTCTCATCCTTAAGCGTCTGATAGTCGGCGGCGATTTCATCCAGAATCTGCTGCAGCGCTGCCTTGTCGGCATCGCCACAATCCTTCATGATGTTCGCCGCTTGGCGCTGTACATCGCTGAGGACGCTGTCATTGAATTGCTTGGCATCATCATCGTATTTCTTATTCTCCGCGATTTTCTTCTCAATCTCAGCGGAGGTGAGCGGATGATACACGGGCAATTTGCGCACCTCAGAGATTTTGGCCTTCAGCCATTGACGCGCCTTGTCCAGATCATTCTCCAGCGCTTTGCGTGCTTTGCTCGCCTCCAAAGCGCGATCCAATTCTGCCTTTAGCACTCCAGACAAATTGCGATTCTCGCTATTCAGATTACGCAACGCCGACTCCAGTTGGGCATATTCCGCCGATTCCAGTTCGGGCTGCATGTTGGCTATGCGCTTGTCCAGCACATCGGCCAGCGATTGCTTTGCCTCCGCATCCTTCATCAGGCTCTTGATCTTCTGCTGACGCGCCTCGGCATCCTTGGGCGAATAGCCCAGTGCCGCTGGTGCTTGCAGCTCTTCGATTTGCTGCTTCACCCATTGCTGCAGTTGGTCAATTTCACCCTTGGCACCGTCCACGCCCTTGTTGGTCACATCCAAGAGCTGCGCCTTGCGATCGATGCGCTTGCCCAGATCGGCAAAGCGACGATCCAACGACTTCATTTGCTCCTCCACCTGCTGACCATCCAGATTGCTGATGACCTCAGCCACCTGGGCGGCCTTGCCCTTGAGCTCCTGTATCTTGGGATGGCCCTGTAGCTCGTATTCGTTCTTTATCTCATTGATGGCTGCCATTTTCTGGGCACAATTCAGGCCAGAGCCGCGATCCAGCACATCCATGCGCTTGATCAACGTATCAAACCAGTTCTGCACATCCTGCATGCCCTGGCGATAGCCATCGATGACATTTTGGCCCGCCTGCTTCTTGGCAATGGCGTCCATGAGCTCCGATTCCAGCTTGTCAATGTTGTCATCCAGATCCGTATCCTCATCGCCCACTATCGAAAAAGAATCGAATAGTTTTTAATATTTGTGGTTGTGGTTTTATCGAATCAATTAATCATATATTTAGCAAGAGGCTGGAAATTTATTACAGGAATTAAACAGTTTTCTTTTCAGTTTTGTGGGTATTTTAATCCAAATTCTTTTTGCATTAAATATTGGACAAAAAACCTAACAGACTGTATATATTTTATATATTTTATAAGGCTTTCCATATACTTACGTGATCCTGTCATTTCGAGCATCAGCTGCGATCGCTTGTCACCAATGGAATTCAATAGATCGTTCATGGCAACCAGTTCCTGCTGTGCGGCCTCGGGACGCAGCTTGCATGGTCGCATTAGCCAATCGGAGACAGAGCTCTGTTGCCGCTTGACCCAATCCTGCAGCTCGGCGCGCTGCTTCTGCTGTTGCTCCAGTTCGCTAACGGATGCAGTCAGACCACCCAAGTGGGATTGCACCTGTAAAATAGCCGCTCGATTAGCCAAAGGTTTTTGATGGGCAGTTTGGGTTTGCAATTGACATTAGATTTGAGATTTGCGATTTTAGTGTTAAGCCAAGCCGCCACCATTTCAAGTGGAGTTTCCAGACCCGCTTACCTTAGCGACGAGTGCATTCAGCTTGCTCACGTGTGCACTATTCAGGCGTACTATGCGACGATAGTTGCTAATACGCTCGTGAGCAATTGGATCCAACAGCGCCTCATTCACATCGCTGAGCTCAACGTCGAGATCGTTATCAGCGTCGTCGTCGGTTGAGCTCTGAGTATTTGGCGGCGGTTGCTTTTTAGTGGCAAGGTCAAGCATAGCATTCGCAGGCGGTAGCAAAGTGCGCGTGGTAGTGCATTTATTTGGTTTTTTTTTTACAATAACAACAACAATAGTTACGGTGCGGCAAATCAACAAAAGTTAGAGCGGTTGGGGTAGTTTGTGGTTCAGTTGGCAGAGTTGATAAAGTTGGTGTAGTTGGAGGGTATTAGGAATAAAAGTAAATTAAATCAAATTACAAAAGATGCATTGGTTAGCAAATAAAAAATTAAGCTGGTTACCCTTAGAGTTTTGCAAACGTAGAAATAGGCGAATAGATGAGAACCATTGGGCGCATTTGGATGAAAATTCTAATTAAAATTGGCTGATATATTTATAGCCATAAATATATTACTAACAGACATTATTTCACTTATTTAACAGCAAATGTAGTAATTTCACCCTTTTTCCGCTTGTGTCGGTGAATTTTAAAAATTATTTGAAACACTTGTAGTTTCTTTCTTTGTGTGGTTCAAAATCAGAAGAATGTCTATAAAACATATATATCATTGCACTTTAAGTTTTTCAAGGCGATTCATACTAATTTGTATCATCTGTTAATTAAATCTCTAATCAATAGCAGGAAAATCATGTATCATCAATAAACACAAAGAAAATAATTTTAAGGAATTATTTACATAATCAAAACAAATATAATCGGAGTCTGCAATCCGATTTTTTTCTCCTAAATGCAGCCTTAGTTTTCAAATATGTTCTCCACGCATTTCGCCTATTTCTACTTTAGTTAATATTTTTGCTAGGTAAACAACAACTACAAATGCAGTACAAAAACTATGTGTAAGGTATTCATTCTATTATATAACCCACCTGATCCAGCAGATCTTCGAGCTTGGCGCGCACGATCAGTTCACGTTCGGGTATGGCATGCATGGCTGTCTCCAGAGGAGAGCTGGGTCGGCTTATAGATGCTGTGGCTGCTTCGCATGCCTGGACGGCTGCTGCCAGCCTGGACTTTTCATTGTTCAGTTTATTTTGCATATCCTGGGCACACTTGAGCTGATTCTGTGCCAACTCCAGGCTCGTGGCTGGTGCGTCCAGTTCAGTTTGTATGATTGGCTCATAGGCCTCCAGATTGCGCATGATGTTGTCCAGCGTGTCCTCGTACTCCTGGAATTTGGCCAGCGACTCGAGCAGGCGATTCTTGATTTGTACAGATGTCTGCAGCAGCGAATTGTAGCTGTCCTGTATGTTCTTCAGCTGTGACTCCACGGTCGGCCGTATGCCAGGCGTTGTCGGCTCATAGCGTTTAATTTGTGCCTGACCCTTGGCATTTAGGTCATCCAAATTGGTCTGATACTTTTGGATCTCGCCCAGCAGCGCCTCATGCTGTTTAATTTGCTCTTGCGTTTGTTCACGATTCGAAATGAAGAGCGAATTGTGGGCCATCAGCTGGAACGAGATTTGCAGCAGCCATTTCTCCACATCCTGCAGGCTCTGATGATAGGCATTATAGTCGATCATCTCCTGCTCCAGATCTCTGATATAGCCGGCGCAGTCGTTCTTCAGCTTATCGCAACGCGACTGCAAACGGTTGACGGCATCCACCTCGGTGCCCAGATCGCGTGCCTCCGACATTAGCTGCTCCAGATCGTTGCCCTTCTGCTTGAGCTCATTGCCGAGCGTCTTGTAGCGCTCCAACAGGGTTTTCATCTCGCTCAGCTCACCCTTGGTCTCGGGCGCTGTCTTGAGCTTCTTCTCTGTTTCAATAAGCCATTTATCGAGCTTATCCTTGTTGGCTGCGAAATCGTTCCAACGATTTTGTGCCTGCTTCAAGTCAGTGAGCTTCTGCTTGACAGCCAGACCCAATGCATCCCAGTCCTCGCGCACCTTGGTCATCAACTCACGCAGTTTCTCCTGCTTATCCTCGGGCGTAATATTGGAGGCCTTCGAGTAGGCATCTTGCACCATGGCCAGCAAATGCTGACCCTCGGGCAAATGGGAGGCCAATGACTGGAAACAAATAATTATTTTGTTATATATAGTAGACAGCTAGCATTGCCCCCCTTTGGCCAAGACAAGTGGGATCATTCAAATTTTTATTAAGACTTTTCCACCTCTTTTTCGATTTTGTAAGTGGAATTTCAAAAATAGGCGAAACAAGAAAATTTTTTTTTCTAAACAGAAAGATAATATTCCTAAAATAAATACGGCTACAGTTATTTTTAGTCAGATCTAAAAACAGGAATTTAAAGCCGATAGAATGAAATAAAGCTTCGAACGAAAATCTTTCACCCATCTTCCACACTTGTGAGTGAAAATGTTAAAATTTCCGTTTAACGGTCTATTTACTACTTGGCTCCCAGATCATTAATTATTGTGTGAATTCTTTTTAAGAGCTATAACTTACGTTGACAGTCTCCAGTTTTTGTGCAATTACTGAAGCATCACCGTCGATGCTGCAATCGTTGAGTACTTGCTGAGCCTTTTCGATCCAGGCATCCATTTCCTTCTTGTAATTGAGGAACTCGGTGTGATCCGACAGATTCTTTTCGATCTTGGCAACCAGACCCTGGGCAGAAGTCAGCAATTTTGTGTAATTGGCCTGAGTCTCAATGGTTTGATCACGTATGCGAGTGCAGGCGCTTTGCTCCATGAGCAGCTCACAGTTGTCATTAAGATCCTCGACATTTTCTCGCTCGGCCAGAACCTCATCGAGCAGTTTCTATGGGGAAGATCAATATTAGATTAAATGTTCTAACCAAAATATTCATATTGAAAGGCACATTAAGCATTTTAGGCATTAGACAGAGTCTGTGTGTAAATGATTAGCTGCAATAGTGTGTGTGTTTAAGTGATTAGCTGAAAAGTTAGCAATTTTGATTAGTTGTTTAGTATGTGAATCAGATTACATATATATATATAAATATATATAGTGTATATACATCAATTTTTACTACGGGGTGCACTCTCTCGAGTAATTTTTAGTATACTTTTTTTATTTTTTTGGTTAGCGTTGCGTGCGACAGTTGCTTGAGATTTGACGAGATATTTGTTGCTTACCTTGGCATTGACCAAATCTTCGGTGGTTTTATTATCGGCTTCCTGTGATTTGGCAACGCGCTTGCTCATTGTTACAATCCACAAATTGATCTTGTTGAACTTTTGCAGGAATGTCTGCCAAGCGGCGAGACAGCTCTCCAGACCGCTGCGCGCATCTCGGGATAGAGCCTGCAGCGTTTCCCATTCACCGTTCAGGTGTTTAATCTCCTGGGCCACATTATCTTGGCCCTCGCTGCCGCTGGTGGCAATGACCGCCTGGCTGAGCTCCTCGCAAGCTTCCAGCAGCGATTTGCCCTCCAAGGAAGTGGACTGTATGTCGCCCAGACGATTGAGACGATCCTCCACTTGATCCTTTTCGCCATGGCAATCAGCGCACTGCTCCACCTCGATGCGTGTGCGACGCAGCCAATCCTGCAGCTCATTATAGGCCTGCTTGTATTTCTCGTGATTGTTCACCTGATTCTCCAGCGACTCAATGATCTTGTTCACTTGACCTTGCAGATCATCGAATTTGCTTAGACCGGGCGCAAAATCGTTTTTATCCAGGCTATTGTCCTCACGCAAGCGTACATTAATCTTTTCCACAATATCGTTGTGCCCATTGATGTCGCGCTGTGTGACACGGAATTTCTCCAGTGCAGCACGCTTTTCGCTCAGGTCATTCAAATACTCCTCGCTGGCCTTAACACTGGGCTCAATATCCTCCAGCCATTCGAGCAGGATCTTGTACAGCTTGAAAATCTCCTCCAGCTGAGCCAGACGATTGGCCAGTTTTTGACGCACATCGTTCAGATCCACAAGCAGCTTGTCAAAGTCCTGTTTCAGGCCCTCGGTGTCCTCTTGTATTTTGGCTGCGCCATTCTGTTCGGTATTCATAATCACCTTCTCCTTGAGTTCCAGAAGATAGCGCAGCTTGTTCTGGCCAGTTTCAAAGCCTTGACGCAAATTCTTAACTGTATTCAATTTAATTTGCACCTCGTTCAGCGTGCCGGGTATTTGTTCGCATTCGGCGAGCTTCTCACGTGTCTTTTCGATCCAGGACTGACACTCCTCGTAGAGCGTATGATGCTGCTGATGCTCCTGGTAGTGCATCTCCAGGCGTCGCATGACCTCCTTGGCCAACGTCAACAGTGCGTTGTATTTGGTGGTCAACTGCATGATGGCATTGCTGATGCGCGTATCAGAGCATGTCTCTAGCAGCACCTGAGCCTTCATGTTCAGGTGATCCAGTGTCTTCTGCCAATCGAACAGCGTTTGCAGATGTCCCTGGAACTCCTCAAGCACCACCTTCTTTTGGGTTAGACTATCCTGGAGCTTGTTGTAGGACTGCACGAGTGCTTCGGTCTTGGTCAACCACTCGAGCGCCTCGGTGTACTGATCCTGGTAGTCAGACCACTTGACAATGCCGACCTCCAAATAATCCTTGGCCTTGTTGAGCGCCTCCACATAGGCATCAAACTCCTCCTGTAAAAGTGCGACTTCTTCTTCAATGATCGCACAATCCTCGGGCTCTGCGGTGCGACAAGCAATTTCACCCTGGGCCAAGGCATTTTGCAGCTTTGTTGAGCCCTCGGGAACTTCACTTTGCAGAATCTTAAGCTGGTGAGTCTTCTCCGCCAGCGCTTGCTTATCACCCGTTGGCTCGGAGCACTTGCTCAGCCTTTCCTTGGCGTTGCGCAGCCATGTGGCAAAGTCGTTACCTGCATCGATCAGCGCCTGGTAGCTGTCAATAGTGTTCTTTTGTTTGGCATACAGATCCTTGGCCTGCTTGGTAAGATTCTCGTATTTGTCGGAGATCTCCGTGGCCGGTGCACCCTGTTGCAAGTCGGACGCCTTCGAGGTTACCGATTGTATCATGGGCTCAAACGAGACAATATCCTGGACAATGTTGTTGGTCTGGCGCAGATTAGCCTTGCGCTCGCTCAGACCGCTACTGAGACCCGGTTGTCCCCTCTGGGATTTGACAATCTTTTGTTCGCACGCCTGCTGCAGCTTGGCCTCCCTGTCGGTAATCCATTGCTGCAACTGTGTGTAGCTGGAGCTGTAATCGGCCCATTGCAGCAGATTTGTCTCCAACTGCACCTTGGCTGTGGACATTTTCTTAACCAGTCGATCCCAATCGGTCTGCAGCTCCTTCATTTCATTGTTAATGGCATCGCGTCCATCGGAGCGCGTATTGCGTATAATCTTCTCTCCATTATTGATAGCTGTGTGGACGAGATTTTGGCCCAGTTCACGATTGCGTATCAGATCTTGTATTTGCTCCAGGCGACGTTGCAGGGCCTCCTTGGAGCCTGCACCCTCGCCAGCGGACTGAATGGTTTGCTTAGCATTCGATATCCATTCCCTAGCCGCCTTCATATTGGCATCGTATTCGCGATGCTGATCGCGATTGGTTTCGACCTTCTTTAGCACATCCTTCGCCAAATTAACCTGTACCTGGTACATGGAGCCCAAGTGTCTGAGCTGATTGTTGACATAGCTATCCAGATGCGATTTGAGTAGACCTGCCGCAGAGGCATTAAATTTATCAATATCATCCTTGCCCTTTTCCAATCGCGACATGACCTCGCGCATATCGGCCACTTGCTTTTCCTTGTCGGGCAAATTGGGACAGAGGTTCAGCTTATGGTTCTTCACAAGTATATCGATCTGTTGCAGCCATTCCATGAGACGTTCATACTCCTCTTTATATGCGCGCCATTGCACCATGGTAACTTCCAAGTTCTCTTTCTGCTGATTGATCTCGCGGAACAAACTTTCGAAGCTATCACGTAGTGCGCGTATATCATTGCGTATGATCTCTTGGCCCTGCGTCGAAGTACTTGCCAGAACCACCTCACCAGTGTGTACCAAATGCTCAACAAGTAGTTCACCCTGAGCCTGTTTATTGAGCAGGGCTTCCGTGGCCTGCACGGCATTCTCAATGGCCAGCTTATCGCTTAGGCTGCTCTGTTTCAGTGCGGGGAATTTCTCGCGTGCACGACTTATCCAGCTAACGAGATCGTCATAGGCTTCCTTGAACAGGCGATGATCTCTGTACTGATCCTGGCGATCCGACAGCAATTTCTGTGTCTTGCCAAACAATTCATCGAAGGTATCCAGCACTTTTTGTGCCTGGAACGCAGCCTGACTCTGTTGGCCGCTGGCTATCATTTCCTTAGCCTGAACCTTCAGTGAATCAACATCAATTTTCTCCACGCGTACCTTCTCCTCTGTGGACTTAACACGATCTAGCTGTGCGCGTTTCTCCGTCATGGTCGTCTGATGCTCGCCCAACTCCTTGAGCAAACCATCCAGCCATTCGTTAAACTTGCGCACGTTTTGCACCTGGTCCAAGAAGCCAGACCACTGAGTAATGGAATCATCTAGGTTAGCCTTGACGTCCATAATGCGCAGAGCAATGCCGGACCAGAGATCCTGCAGTTCTGAGAGCTCCTTGTTAATGGCCTCGTGGCCAGCGGGTGCGGTATTTGCGAGCACATGTTGAGCCTGCTCTAGGATTTTAAGCACTCGTGCAGAACCTTCGTCTTTAAGTAGAATCACATCTTGAATGGTGGCCAACTTCTTGTCCAGTTCTTTCTGACTCATCGAGGACATGTCTGAACAGTAGTCCAGCTTTTCCTTAATGCCATTAATCCACGATTCACACTCCGAGATGGAGTTATCAAAATCTTCGTGTGAGGTAACGTATTGCTGCCAGCGATTGTTCAAATCCTTGACTTTGTGGAAGATTTGCTGATATTTAGTGACCAATTCGGGCCCAGATGATCGAGTCGTGGTGGGTCCCTTCAGCAATGTTTGTGCCTTTTCGGTAACATTATCGACTTCCAATTCCTTGGCACGGACATCGCCCTGCAATGCCTTCAGCGTATCCAATTGCGCACGCTTCTTTGGCAGATCCTCCTTGAGGTCAATGGCATGCAAGTCATTGTCGGTGTCACGGATCCAGGCCAAGCACTGATCGCGCAGCTGCTCATATTCGGACCATTGCTGCAGGCGTGCCTCAATGGCTTCGATGGTTGAGCCGATGGCTGCCAGCAGACCCTCCCATTCCTGTTGCGTTGTATCGATCTGGGACTTAATGTTCACCTGACCCACATCAATGGTGCCGGGTATAACCTTTTCGCCCAGCGCACGCACTTGATCCACGCGCGGAAACTCATCCGCAAGGCTGGCCTTCAAGTTCTTGAGACGATCGAGATTAGTATGCAGAGAAGTTTGCTCCAAATCAAGATCGCCCCAGTAATGCACGGTGTTCAATGTGGCATCAATGAACTCCTGGGCATCCATAACGGCCTTGGAGTATTGTTGATGGGCACTCACAATACCCTCGTAGCGTTCAACGTAGCCCTGAGCGCGCTTTTGCAGTTTGCCAAAGCGATCGGTTATATCCTTAAGAATCTGATCCACATGCTCAGTCTTTTCAGGCAAATTGGCTGTAATCTCTTGCAGATTTCCAACCTCCACTTGATGATTGTTGATGTCGTTGAGCACGTCACGATAGACCTGCAATTTATTGCGCTTCTCGTCCAGCGTGGTCTTCAGTTCAATTTCAGCTGGCAACTCATGCTCCACATCATCCAGCCAGCTCTTAAGCTTGTCAGCAGTCTCATCGAAGCCAGACCACTTGGCAATCTTATCCTGTATCTTACGCGCAGTGCTGGCAACATTATCAAAGAGTTGATCAAAGGCCAGATCATCCAATTGACTGCGTATGGCCTCACGTCCTTCGGTGGCCGTTGAGCTATAGCACTTCTCGCCCAATTCCACGGTGCTGTTCAGCAGCTGTGTAGCCGTGGGCTGCTGTGCCAGCAGCTCATGTATGACCAGCTGCTTCTTGAGAAGATCATCGCGTGATGCCACCGAGGACAAATCGCTGCAGTCATCGTAGCGTGCCTGAGCGTTGGCCAACAAATCGGCGCATTGCTTGTACTTTTCGTTGAAGTGGCCGTGATCCTGAACGGCTTGCTCGCATTTCTTGAGTATCTCCTTGGCCGTGGCTTGTATAGACTGGAAACGTGAGGAGACTTGTTGCACATTGACTGCGATTCTGGTCTCTCCTGAGCTTTGCACTAGCTCCGAGGTATCATCCTTCATTTTCTCAAAGTCGGCTTCGTTTTGACGCAGGCTTTGTGTCAATGACTGGAAGCGATTCAATTGCTCTTCCTTTTCCTCAAACGAGTTTTTCAGATTGTAGTTCTTGAGCGCATTCTCAGCCTCGCCCAGCCAGTTAATCAAACGATCCAAGTCGACTTCATAGTCATTCCATTGCTGTAATCGGTTCTCCAGGCCGCTCTTAACATCGGTCAGCGAACCGCCGAACTTTTCGAAATCAGCATGCAAATTGGCCAAGTCGCGTGTCATGGCTTCCTTTGAGCGAGCTGGTATGCTGCTGGCATGCTGCTCAATGTGTTCCTCAAGAGCTTTTAATTTGGAAACACCTTCAGGCAAAGCATCCTGGATTTCATTGATCTTTTGTAGACGCGCTTGCAAGGCTGCCTTATTGCCCGAGTAGTCGGAGTAGCCGGTCAGGCGATCCCACAGGTTCTTCTGATAATCCTGCTGTGCTTTCTGCAGCTCACTGAACTGCTGATACACCTCGAAAGCGGCATCCAGATCAGCGACCAGCTTGCCACAATCCTGTCCAACTTGCTCATAACGCTTGTTTATTTCAGCGACAGATTTGGCAATCTCATCAGCATTGGCAGGCGCGGCGCTAGTCAGGAGAGCTGCTGCCTTCTCATTGACAGCCTCAACAATGCGCTTGTGCGAGTTGATGTCCTGGTTGGTGGCCTTGTATTTGTACAGCTTGGAACGAATTTCCTGTGCGCTTGTCCAGCTGGCTGGATTCTCATTGTGCAGTAACTTCTCCACCTGATCCAGCCAGTTGACCGTTTGACCTAGTATATCCTGATAGCTGGAAAGCTGTACGCTTTGTGCTTCTTGGCGTTTCTCCAAGTTGCGTATGCCCTCGTCCAGCTTATCCCAACGATCGCGTATATCACGCAGATCCTTGCGTATCTTTTCTCTACCCTGGGTGGATGTCTCTGGCAAGGCCTTTTCGCCGGCTGCATTCAATGCACCGAATAAACTCTCGGCCTGTTCCCTTTCGGAAAGCAAAACCTGTAGAATATTTGAGCTCTGCGTTGGCTCATCCTTGAGCGCCTTCTCCAATTGCGTCTCAATGGGCTGCAGCCACAAGTCCACCTCGTTGTACTTGTCTTGGTAGAACTGATGATCGTCCACCAGATTGGACCAGCGGTTGACCACTTCTTTGCTCAACACCTGCAGCAGTTGATAACGATTTGTGATCTGCGTTGTCAACGTCTTTAGACGATCGGCACCGCAGTTGTTGAGCAAAGCGTGTGCCGTATCTCCAAAGGCATCGATTTCCTTTTCCTTTTGCAATATGAGTTCCCGCTGTATTTTATATTTGTCCATTTGCTCGACCTTTTCATGCAACGTCGACTTGAGCTGTTGCTCGCGGAACACGGCCTCCGCATTGCGACACCATTTGGTGAGTTCTTCCAGATTGTGCTCAAATTTATCCCACTGTGCTAGCACATCCTTTTGCTTGCCTTCGATACCCTCGATGTCATCGAAGTGACTCTTCATTGTTATCTCCAGTTCATCGATTTCTTTCTCAAGCACTTCAATGCCCTTCTCCGAGGTGGCGGGCTTTACATTATTGAATTGTGCACGGATTTCGCTAATTAGATTCATGGCCGTTGTTTTATTTTGAGCCAATTGACCAAGGGTTTCAATTTTACGCTTTATATCTGCCTTTTCACCGTAGGAATCATCGCATTCCAGCAGTTTGGCTTTCTCATTCGATATCCAGGCCTTGGCACCACTGAGGGAATTGTTTAGGTCGCTGTGCTTTTGCACACAATTCTCCAGATTGTGCAGTATTTCATCGGACTTTTGCACGATATTCTGGAAGAGTTGCTTGATTGACTGCAGATAAACATTCAAGGAGTTGTCCTTTATTTGATCAACTAGTATTTGCGCCTTGTCGCACACATTGTCCACGAGCACATTGTGCGTGGTTATCTCTTGGTGCAACAGTTTGTGATTCTGCAGCTGTGCACGCTTCTCCTGAAGCGTGGTTTTCGGTTCGGTATGACTCTGCATGGCCTTGTCCACATCCTTCAGCCACTTGGTGAGCTGATCTTGAGCTATGCTAAATTCATTGAACTGCAGTAGGCATTGATCAATCTTATGCGTAGCCGAGTTTAGGTCGTCCGTGTAGTTGTCCCACATGGTACGCAGGGAGCGCAGTTGTTGGCGTATAATCTCCCGACCTTCGGGACTTGTGTGACCGTAGAGTTTCTCGCCGCGATCAATCAGACTCTCAAAGACAGTAGAATCCACAATGCGCTTGTCGGACATTTCGCGCAGTTTGTTTTGCTGATCCTGCAATACGCTCTGATCGCCGACAATTTCATTGGTCTTCGCCAGCTCATTGGCGCAGGTTTGCAAATTTTGCTTAAACTTTTCATAGTCCGTGTCAAAGCTGTCGTGATCCTTGACATAGTTGACATACTTGGCGATGGACTCCTTGCAAATATTCTTCAGTGTCTGATAGCGTGTATTCAAACGCGAGAGTTTCAGATTTAAATCGGTTTCACCTTCGATTTCACGACCCTGATCCATGAGCTCGTTTATGGCCGCGCCGCGACGCTCAATATCCTTGGCATTATCTTGAAGCTGCTTCAGATGAGCAGCCTTTGCTTCGGCGGTGCTCTTTAAGTTCTGGTTCTTTACCACAGCCTCGACGTTCTTCATCCAATTGTCAAGCTCATCGATGATTGAGTCAAACTCATCCCACTTGGAGCAGAGCTGCTTCAGTTTCACTTGTGAGTCCTGGCAGAGCGACATGAACTCCTCCCATGCATTTTTCGGCTCCTCAAAGCCCTTGAGCAACGCCGGATGACCGCTAGTATGGGTTTGTGTTAGAACCGTTTCCAAAAGCTTGTGGCACGTATCAAATATGGAATCACCCTCGGGCTTATGCTGCAACAAATTCTCCACAACAATCAGTTTCTCCTCGGCGCCCTCCTTTTCGAAAGTGGTTTCGTTCAAAATATCAATTGCCTCCGATTTGATGGTGTTCAACCAATCTTGTGCCTTCTCCAGCACCTGATCATAAGCCTCGTGTTTGACCACCTGATTGCCTACGGTATTGATGCGATCGGAAATCTTTTTGGATAGCGTATTGTACTCCTGTATGGACTCATCTGTTTTACGCTCGGACTCATCATCGCACAGGGTGACTGCCTTGTCGTGCAGTTGCTTTAGAGCATTCTTATGCAATGTGATCTCCTGCAGCTGTGTTTTATAGTTTTGTAGAGCTGCTTTCTTGGCCGCCAACGTGGGATAGAGCTCATCACCAGCAGTGACCTTGGCCTTAGACTCGTTGAGGTAGTGCGACACTTGAGTGTAGCTCTCCTCAATGGAAGTCTTTTGTATGAGTACGCCCTCAACCTGTTGCATCAGAGCATTGGCCTCATCGCGCAGATAATCATATTTCTCGCGCATTTGGCGTAGATCGGCGCGTATCCGTTCGCGATTCTCAGGGGAAACCACTGGATAAAGCCCCTCACCAATGTCCACAGCATTGTTCAGCAAGAGTTGACCATTGTCAAAGGTCTTCAGATAGTTTTTAATGGTCTGCAATTGCTGTGCGGTGGCCGACGAAGAGCCAGGGGATCCCATACGGGCCAGTTCCTGGAATTCAATCTTTGCATCGCCAAACCATTCATTAAAGTCTATAGATGCTTTGGCAAAGTTCGCATTTGATAGCTGAGCGCTGCGTATTTTATCAATGTGTCCGGCAAGGCTCTTGGCAACCGTCTGGTAACGCTGCACCAAATGCGTAACAAATTGTCCAATACGCGCCTCGGGATTCTTTTCAATCAATTGCTGTGAGGTCTGCTCCAGGTCGCTGATGATGGGTTCATGTGCCAGCACATCCTGCTGCAGTATGGCCAACTCTTGTAGTTTCTGTGGCACCTCGGGCAAATTAACCTGACCGCTTGTCTCCGCTTTAACGCGACCTTCCACATCGCGCAACCAGTTAGATATTTGCTCATTTGACTGTTCGTACTGTGACCAGAGATCAACATTCTCATCCAGTATGCCCTTGATGCGATCAAAGCTGTCCTGTAACGCCTGCATTTCCTTGCCCATAAGCTCGGCATCGCTATTGAGCTCGGCCAGGTTCTGTGGCGATTCAACGGCCTTAAGCATTTCCAAGGATTTCAGCGTTTCTGCATGACGCGCTTTGCAGTCATCAATGCTCTTGCTGACCTCCTGTAGCGACGATTTCTTCACATCCAGGTTATACTTGTCGCTTGTGGACTCCGGCTGACACCAGGCCACCTTCTCGCGCTGTGTGACAATGATGCGCTTCAGCATGCCCACCTTATCGGCATGGAACTTTTTGAGGAACTGCAGCAGTGAGCTCTCGATCTTCTTGGCATACAGATCGACGCCCTCGTAGCGTTTCTGCACATTGTTCAGCTCCTTGGGTATGATGGACTCATTGAATGTGGGATATAAATTACGCAATTCGTCCACATTCTGCTTGATATTCTCAATTTCGTTGCCGCTCTGATCCAATTGAGCGCGCAGTGCACGACACTGCAGCAAGCGCTCCATGATCTTGTTGTTGTCCCCGGACATGTCATCGCATTTGATCAGCTGTTCGCGCAGCTTACTCACCTGCTCGCCAGCAATTTTGGTGCGTTTGCGTAGCTCCTGCTCCTGGTCAGCAAAGGACGTGGTGACAGCGCTTAGACGCTCCGCATTGTTGCTTACCTCGGCAAATTGTTCGCCGAGCAGCTGGTTGAGTGTGCTCAAAGAGGGTATTTCGGCACCATTGTTTATCTTGACAAGGTCGTTGGTTTTCTCGAGAATTGTATCCCTGAGCGCCTGGTAAGAAGGCAGTTCGTTGCGGTATTTGCTGAGACGCATGGGTCCGAATTCGATTTCAATTGAATTATCCGCAGCATCGCAGAGGCCCTGATTGGTTTCAGACAGCCAAGGTAGCAGATCCTTTTTGGCATCTTCGATTTGCGACCAAATAACCGCTTCCGTCTCGTAGACATGCGCATTTTTAGCCGTCTTGTCGTGCAGATCCTGCCAGTGTTGCTTGGCAACGGCAACTTCTTGGGGCACCTCTTGAGGCACCGGCTCACCAATGGCTGTGAACAATTTGGCGACATTGTTGCCGCGACGTTCGAGCTCATCGAGATTCATCTTGGACTTGCGCAACTGTTCCATAGTCTTGCGCGTCTTCTCGGAGGCCTGATGCAGTGCGGTCTCATCGCCCGGCTGTTGGGGTATGGCATTGAACAAATCTTCGGCTTTCTTCAGCTCCTTGGAGAACTTGTCCTTGGACTCGGCGTACTCCCTCAAGGCCTGACTGATGAGATTATATTTTTGTATACGATCGGATATTTCATTTTGTAGCGAATCGTAGTTCTTATCCAGCACCAGTAGACTCTCCTGTATGGCCGGCATGCTTGCAATATCCTCACGCATCAGTAGAGAGCCCTCGTCGTGTATGCGATTTTTAAGATCCGCCTGGTACTTGAGCGCATCATTTAACGCTACAAGATCAGCAATGATTTGATCAATGTTGTTCAGATTGGGATGTTGCTTAAGGATCTGCTCAAGCTTAGCGCGATTCTCCTGCAGCGCCTGACCAAAGTTATGCTCCAGTGCATGGAACTTGTCCTTACGGACAGTCATCTGCTGCAGTTGTTGCTGCTGATTTTGCGAGCGAAGTTTCAGGTTTTCCAACTTGTTTTCCACATCGTTGACAATCTGTGTGGCTATCAGCGGACGGCGAGAGAGTGCATCACGCAATTGTATAGCCGGATTCTCATCGATTTCCTTGGCCTGACCCTTCCAGTAGCTCAGACCCTGGCCCAGATGATCAATTTCATCGATGGCCTTCTTCAGCTCCTCGACAGCTGGTCCCTCGGGCTTTTCCAACTGATGCTTCAAATAGTTCAAGTGCGATTCAGTATCATGCTTCCAGCCCAAAAGCTCGGTCCATTTCTCCAATGCAGCCTTCTTCTGCAGCATATTTGACTCCAAATTCTGATAGTTAACCACAAGGGCAGTGTACGCATCATTTAGTGCATTGGACTCTTCGGGTGTGGCGCCCAGGGCCAGCTGCTTGACCTCATCGTAGATGGCATTAAAGCTGGGCTTCTTATCGGCATGCTCCTGCAGCAAGGCGTGTATGACATGCAAGCTAGTCTCCACACGTTCCGGATTGATTTCCTCAACCTGTGTGACCTGATTGCGCAACTGTTCCATCCAGTTGGAGAAGTTGACCAATTTGGCATTGAAGTCCTGACGCGATATAATGGCATCGGAAACCTCGTTGATGTTGCCACGTGTGGCCTCTGAAAGCTTTTGTAATTTACCCTTCATGAGGTTCACGCGATCCTTGACAGCCACAGCGCCCTCTGGCGCCAAATGCAAGCTGATTTGATCGGCATTCTGGCCAAGGGCAACCAATTTGGCCTGCTGCTGAGATATCTCATTGTTGAAGGACTTTAGTTTGACCAGCTCTTTTTCGAGCTTGTCAATGTGCGGTGTATTTAGCACAGCCGGACGCTTACCCATCTGCTGTGCACCCTGATCAATCCAATCCTCCAGCTTGGCCGCATCGCCATCGAACGATTTCCAATTGGCAACTAGCTTTTCGAGCTTACCGCTCGCCTGTTTGGCATTTTCATGGACCGCGGTCCAGCGGGAGTGCATGGCATCTAACTCATCGGGGGCATTGGTTTTGCATAACATTTTATGACTGATGTTTGATATGCCATGGAGTTTGTCCAATTGCTCCAGGCATTGTGTTTCAAATTGTTTGGCATTTTGTTGCATGGCAACGGCTTCTTCAAGTGTAATTGGTTTAGGAACTATATTATTTACCTTGACTTCGCTTTGCTCCACGGCGGGCTTGATTTGCTGTAATCCGGCCTGGAATTGCTGCCAGTTGACCAGATCCTCCTGCACGGCCTGCGACTGATGGTCCACATTGCGGTTAATGGCGCTGAGCACCTCCTGCAATTTGGAGATTTCACCCTTGAGACGCTTCGCTTCGGCAACGTTGCCCTCCTTGGGGGCCAGCTCAGATGCATCAGCGGCCAATAGATCCAGCTGCTTCATGCGCTCGCCCAGCACACGCTTAAAGGACTGCACCTTGACAACACGCTCCTCCGGTGTCAAATCCTCAGATTGTAGCGCTTCAATATTCTTGGGTGCCACTTTGTTGGCCCATTCCTGCAGCTCGCCTAGGCGCGTCTTGTAGTTGTTCCACTTGGCACTGTAGTCCTCCAGGTAGCCCACACGATCCTTGACATGTTCCATGGTATTAAAGAACATCTTCTCTACCTCAGTCACTTCCTTCTCGAGTATGGGTCGCTTATCGGCGGCCGCAAGTGGTGCCAGCTCCGACTTGAGGGCATGCAGCTTGGGCAGCAATTGATGGGATGCCTGCTGCAGCTGCACATTCAGATCGCGCTTCGACTTCAGATCTTGACTAACATTCTTGGGATCTGTCTGGAGTGGTGTCAGGGCGCGCAGCTCTGTCTCAGCTGTTTGCAGCATGGAGAAGATGTCGTTCTTCTGATCGACAAACTCGCTCCACACTGCCTGTGTGCCCTTGAGTGCTTGAAGCTTATCGGAGGTCTCGGTATAAGCCTGATTCCAGCCGGTTTCCAGATTCTTGACTTCAGCATTGACGAAAGCCGGTGCATGCACATCCTTGCTAAGATCGCGTCCACGTTGGAGCATGGACATAATATGTGGCCGCTGATGATCGAGCTGATTGATGGCATACTGTTGCTCCTCAATTAGGCGATTTACGCGATCCAAACTTTCGGGCGCCGGGATATTGGCCGTCTGATCCTTGACCTTGGTCAACAGGCAAACAACCTCGTGCACCTCGCGACGATATGTGTAACACTTGGAGAACACCTCCGTTTTGACCATAGTTATCTCAATGGTGGGGATTAGGTTCTTGTAGCGTGCAATTAGATCTTCAAGTTTCTTTTGCTCCAGATTAGCCTCATCCTCGGTGGCATAGCTGAGCAGAGAATCCAGCGTTTTGACCAGCCACTTCATGTCCTCACGTTTGTTATCTGCATCCTGGCAGATTTTCTGCGAACAAAACAATATTGTGATTAATAGGATTTTTCAGAAATATGTGTATTTTTTAGATAAGCAAAAGCAATTTAGTTACCACTAGTTCCCTTAGCTGCATGCAGGCGTAATAAATATTAGCATGGAATTTTTTAAGCTATTTTTTTCGTGGGCGATAAGCATTCAACTCACCTGGAAAACAACCTTCTCCTTTTCGAACTCCTCCATGCTGTTGACCTCGTTAACAATGTTCTTAAGGCTCTGATCTACGCTGTTCATCCAGTTGATCATCTCAGTGAATTTCAGATGATAGCCCTGCCATTGGGCAGGTATTTGCTGCAACGTCTGACGCATATCGGCCAATCTGCTGGACATTATCTGCCACTGAGCGTTGGCATTATCATAGGCTTGATCCAGGCTAATATCACCGGGCTGCTGTTGTCTGTGCGCTTGGGCCAGACGCTGCATGTTCTGCAAGCACTTCTCCAAACGTGGCACCGCGTCCTGTTGCAGCAGGAATTGCTGATTACGTTGCAGAATGGAGTCCACGTCTTCATTGCGATTGAGAGCCTGCTGTTCCAGTTGCAGCTCCTTCTCAACATCCTTCAACGATTGATAGAAGGCATTCTCGTCCAGACGGAACTCCAGCTTGAGCAGATGCAATGGCGCTTGGCCCAGCACATTCTTCCAGCGAGACTGCAGCTGCTCCACACTTTGCACCACAGCCGGTTGCTCCTGGCTGGGCAGCGTTGTCAGCAGCTGCTGTGCCGATTGCACCAGATCGTTCATCCAGCGATCGTTGACCTGCTCGAAGAAGTACTTTTGGGTCTCAATTGTTGTCTTTGACTCAATGTGCTTCTCAACGAGCATGGACTCGGCCCGTGTGAGCCACTCGTTAACGACGCGTTCATTATCCTTAAAATTACTCCAACCACCAGCTGCATCGCCCAAACGCTGCTCCCATTTGCCTGCATTCTGTATGACATAATTGAAGCGTTCGTTCAGCTGCTGCATCTGTTGTGCCGCTGGAGCCGTATCGATCTTATCATCGGCCGCCACAGCTTTAACCAAATTCTGGAACACCTTGTTCTTGCTCTCCAGCATGGAGCGATAATAGACGGTGCGCGAAAAGTAGGTCTTATGCTTGTGCAGTTGCTCATTGATTGATTCACGTCCGCCGGCCAGATTGTGGGTGCCCAGCAGCTGCTCGGCTTCGGTCAGCCATTGATGAATTTCCTTTTGGCCCGCCTCGAGTGATTCCTGTTGAATTTGCAGCTGATGGAACAGATGCAGCTTGGCGGGCATTTGGGCGCGTATGCGCACCAGCGACTCCTTCTCCTGCTTCAGCAGCTTCATCATTTTGTCGACCTCGTCGCGCGACAGATCCTGTATGAGCGACTGGAAGGTGCGACTGATGGTCTTGAATAGCTCCTCGTTGTCATCGATCTCGCTGGCAAGCTGCTGCAATTGCTCGCCATAGCGACGTATTTGCTCGCTGTTGCCCAGCACTTGGCGCTGATCTAGCACGCTCTCCGCGCCACGCAGCCACCTGGACAGCTTCTCAATGCCAGACTTGTACTCCTGGCGCGACCGTATAATATCGCCAGCGTGCATATATTGCTTGGTATTGGCGAAGAGGCGCTCGAAGCGCTCGGCTAGGGCGCCATGACGCTGACGCAGCTGCTGAGCGATGGGCTCCTCACAGGATGCAATTAAATAGTTAGCGGCATTGGCCAGGCCATCGAATTTATCCTTCCACACGGTGATGTCCTGGAAGAACTCTAAGCGATCGTCTTCGCTTTGGTTCAGTTTCTGCTCGGCCAACAGCAGCCATTCCTCGCAGCTGGGCGCCAATTGATTCCAGTTGCGCCAACAATTCACCACCTCCTCGAGAGAATTTTGGCAGCATTTCAGCTCCATCGAGACACGCTTCCAGCGCTCCTCGGTGTCGTACATGAAGCGATCAATTTCGTTGATGTCCTTGCGGGCAACATTGCCCTCACGCTTATACTCCTCGACCACCTGTTGCATGTCAACGAATGCCTTTTGGAACTCTTGGAAGATCTTGTTGCGCGACACGAAGTTCTTATACTGCTCCAGCTGTTGGGCTACCTTCTCCTCGTGACCGTACTTGCCGGTCCAGCCACGCATTTTGTTCTCCACCAGATTGAGGAAGGCAATCAGGCAGCATTTGTGCTCAAGGAATTTCAAGCGGATTCTACGCTCGGCGGCCTTGGGTCCAACCTCCTGCAGACGTCGTTCCATGTTGCGCAGCTGCTCCAATGGCACCTGATGGGCCTGGGGCGAGCGCTTGGCGTTGTCAAACATGGCCACAATGCGCGGCAAATCGGCAAAGAACAGCTTATGCTCCTCCAGCTTTCTACTGATCACAGCGGCTGTCTCCTCATTCATCGCATTGGGTATATCGTTGTCCATGAGCAATTTCTCGGCATCGGCGAGCCATTTGCCCACAGTGCCGAAATCGCCAGGCAGCTCGGCGTCCAATAGCCAGAGCCAGTACATCATCTGGTATTGTAGACGCTGCCACAGCTCATTGATCTGATCCCACGCCTGGCGTGAGACCTGCAGAAAACCGCTCTGGCTCTCAATCAATTGCTTGAGGCGGTTGTAAGCAGGCAAATGTGCATCGACTTCAGAACGTGCCAGCAGATATTCACCAAAATCACGTGGGAACGAACTCATCATTACCATCGGTTCGTATTCGGTGGTCTTTTCCAAAAGGAAACGACGCAATTCATCCACTTCTTGTTGCACATGCGACTCGTCGCGGGATGCACCCTAAAAAATAACATACAAATTAGTTAGAATATATTTTGAAGATCTGCTACTATATGCATTCATTAGGGCTGGTTTTTTTGGACAAATCTTAACTATTTTCCACTCATTTTTCATCCAATGCGGTGAATTTCGTAAATTTTTTCAACACGTCTGCTTTAAACTTTCTTCGAAAAGTTTTCTATATTTAGATATGCTTACCTTTGGTTCAGGATACTTGTGCAAGAATTGCGCCACATATGTCATTATGCTCTTCTCATCCGGCTTGGGTACGTCCACATCCTCAGCGTCCAATAGTTTGGCAATGCCCAATTTGCTTTCGGCCACATCGAAAGCTGTCTCCAAACGCTGACGATTGCTGGTCTTTTTTAGCTCGGCTAAATTAACCAGATTCGCTTTGATTGCATCGATAAGTGCGAGGAAGGCGACACCATCTCTCCAGCTGGCGCCGAAATCCTTAACCTCCACACCAATGTCTCTGCAAGGAATAAATATGCAATCATTAGGAATCATAATATATAGTTAGATTTTCTATATATACTCACTTTGGCAAGGCATTTGTTACCCAGTTGAGTAGCGTTTTCTTGGCGCCTTGCTTCCATTTCTCAGCCCTAAGATCACCGCCAGCCTTGTGATTGCCAACACTGTCGAGGGAGCTAACCGAACCGCCAATACCATGACCCAAATATTCTAGGTTGCGGCTATTCTCCTCGATCTGTGAAAGTTGAAAGGTTCAAGGTTAGAAAAATATACCACAAAAGTCAATCAAAGACACTCAATGGTCAAATCATAAGTTTTGGGTGCTTTAATAATTGGGACTACCAACTTAAGAATTGAACTACCAAAAAGAAAAATATGAAAGTATGTGGGACAACACCAACAACTCTTTACAACGATCTCAACCTACCTGTGGCGCATAATTTATAACTACAACTAAGTTTTTCCGCCTCTTTTTACGAAGCTTGTTTTTTTTTTTGTTCGATTCAGATTTTAGTTTTTATTTTTTTTTTTAAATTATTTTTAAATAAAGTACAAAAAAGAAGATATAGAGGGTTAATTACATTTATAATTGGCATTGTGAATAGCTATTTGGTGATTCATAAGTTGGTGGTCTAAAATCAGGGTGACAAAGTGTACCGCTAGCAACCAATTTATTTTGTTCTAGTGCTCCAATTTTTGGTGAGAAATTGTGCACTGTGTGTTTGTTAAATATAACTGATAGTTCGTTTAGGATTCTCGCTCACCTGGAAGTACAATATGATCGTCCATATCAGACCCAACACAACTGGTGGTCTCCCATCCACCAGATCTGCGGGATTAATATTGACCAATTTGATGCGTTTGCTGGCTAAAAATTGTAGGGCCGTATTCGCATTGCTAAGGAAATGTGGACGTCTCAAGACGCGTCCCTTCTCCACGGGCAATCGTTCGCCGGACAAAACTTCGAGCAGTGCAATGAGTTTCGTACCATCACGTAAATCATTGATTAAATCATCAATACGAAGCGGTGGAACTCGCTAAAAAGAAAGAATGAGAATGTTTATTTCAAATTCAATTATTTATTATTATTAGAGATTTAATTGATGAATTTTAGTTAAACTTATACAGAATACCACGTTTCTGTTTATTCCTAACTAAGCCCCACACTACAGAAAATACATTCTTTGTTAACTTCGGTGTTTATGATGAGATCCTTATGAAATATTCTGTCCTTAAGGATGACACATAAATTTGTTCAAAACCCAAAGCTACATATCTTAAAGTGCGTTTTCCGTTTTTAAATTTTGTGTGGCATGGAGGGAGGTTTTCAAAAACAGAGATACATTTTGCATTAGCTAGTTTTAGCTCTTTACGGCTGCGAGATATACTCTTATCGATAGCTTGATATCGGTACAAATTATCGAATATTTGAAATATGGGTCCTACGTTCTAAATTTCAGTTCCCTAAATCTTAAAGTTTCCGAGCTTATATAGACGTAGAGACGGACATACCAACAGACTTGGTATGGTATGGTATGGGTAAATTGAATCAGTTGTTGGGCCTGACCAATATTTTCTTTCTAGGATCGGAGAAGCCTCCCACTCCTTGTTACATACATAAAAATGAAATAAACATACCCATTTCTGCCCATTTTCAATAAGTAATGTTTTATAAATGTTTTACATAAGAATAGCCAGAATCAGACATGTAATTCAATAAGTTTGCGATTCGGAAAGCGAGCAAAATTAAAATGCACGCACATTTATGAATAAGTTTGGTTTATGGGAAAATGATTGAAAATGTTATGTATTTATATGTGTTGGTATATACATACATATATATATATATTTATGAGTTTACACACATGTGCATGATTTAATGAGCACTAAAGCCAAATGACCAGACGTCGACACCGACTTTGAAGTGCCTTTTGTTGCAGCATTTAATGGGCTTTTTATGAGCACATTAAGTATGTGCATAATGAATATGCAAACATATATATGTATATATTTATATATATGTATATAGTTAATGTAAGTATATGTACTGCACATGTTGTGCAGTCAAAAATGTAATGCATAACTCAATCAATGTAATTTATGAAGCGTAAATAGTGAAACGATTTCGCCAATGCGTCTAATTAATCAAATCGAACACGGACGAATTTGTCGAGAAACGATTTCGCTTTTGTCGCTAGGAGCCGACAGAAAAGCAGATAAATAATTAACGTAAAATGCATTTAATTAATTTAAATAGTTGATATGGTTAGGCATTGCGTTAATTTGTTTAGCTGCCTTGCCAGACAAATTGTCGAGTGGCACGCGCCGGCATTTAAGCCGGATTCACCGCAAAGATTGCAATTTAAGTTAATGACATTACGGCGGAAATGGCACCGACCGACGAAAACAAAAGCAATTCGAGCCCAGCCAGGCACTATAATTTGAGTGTACAATTTAATTGAGCCTTTGCCCGTTTGGTTGAGCGAAAATCAAGCCAAATAGTTTGTGAATACTTGGCCTCAACTGTTGCGGACATGCAAATGACGGGCAAAGTTTTTGTCTGTTTCGAGTCGCAAAAGTTGTTGGTTCTGTTTTGTTTTAATGCAACTTCTTCTTCAAGAAACTATGCTACTTACAATGCGAATTCAATTTCTGTATTTCCGCTTGTTTCTCGGCAAACGCCACAATTTCCACAACTCTGCACAACTTTTGGTGTTGTCTGGCAATTGTGTCAAACTTTTATAACAGCTTTCTGTCTTGTCATGTTTGTTTCTTGCTGGCGTCAACAATTTTCTTTCTTCTGTTTGATCCCTTATCTTAACACTATGTATATGAAATTGGTTTTACAAGTTTAGGTTCCCTTGCAGTATCATTTTTCTCAGTTCTCTATGTAGCTATATTAAAAAATCAGTTTCCTAAACAATAATTGTATTTTAGAAAAATCAATACTTTTATGTGGAAAGTGGATGAAAAGTTGTTAAAGAAATTATTTGTTGGTTACCCATTCAATCGATTTAAAAATACTTTTTAAAGATCTCTTGAAATACTCATTCAAAACATATTTTACCTATATAAAAAAAAATGTTTTCAATTGAATAGTTTTTGAAAACTATTCAAACGCTGAATTATTAACAGTTTTACAAATTCACGAGTGGAAAATGAGTGGAAAACTAAGAGAATTTTAAAAATTATACCCAATCCGTAAAATGATGAGTTAAACCAGATAGAGTAACGTATGAAGTTTGTTGTTTAAAACTTATATATTTTTTCTGCGGTTGATTGAGCTACGCACCAACTCTTTCAGCATGAACACGGTTCAGTTTTACCTACCTAAACCTCTGCAGAATATAAATAGATATCATCTAGCGCACAGAGTCAAGAACTTTGCATTATTTGAGCGCTAAGCAAACATTTATCATGCCATCGTCATATGGTATTGGTAGGCAAACCAACTCTTTGCAATTGTCTACTGTGCGTTGGTTCTAAGAACAAGCTTAAAGTCAACTGCTGGGCACGCACCCGAGACGTCCATGGAATTTGCCAATGCGAGAAATTCCACAAGCCGCTGGCAACATGGACCGACTCTAGCTCAAAGCATGCAAAATGTTAAACAAAAGAAAAAAATAGAAACTTGCAAGCCAAGTTCATAGCCAGACATGCGTTGGCCTATAAAAAATGTGCTCGGAGCATAGACAGGCAACAATGCTGCATTAATGACAGCAACAGTTCCGTTGCATGTGTGGCCCGGACAGTCTTAACCTGGCCCGGAGTGGCAGCGGCAGCGTCAGCGTCAGCGTTAGCTGCCATTAACCCGCACAAGCCCCAACCGACAATCCGCAGCCCACGCAAACAATATGCAACGCCCACTGACTTACTTTCAGCCCGAACGTTGATTTAATGCACTTTTCCTTAGAGCACTCGACATTTTCTAATGTGTTATCTTTTAATACAACTTCAATCTGCAGACGTGAGCCGGCATTTCTTGTACATACATATATCTTTGGCCCGAGCATATGTACAAAATTTTTGCCGGCCGGCCATAAAACCAGTTCCACAGGCTTTGAATGCCATTGCGGGCAATGCAACTCGATAAGTCAGCCAAACACAGAGAAGCAGAGTCGTAAAGCGTTCATTCGACAAAGTGACTGGCAATAAAAGGAGTTGCAGATACATACGGCCAGTGCTGAGAAATACGCCTTTTTGCCCCATGGGTGTTTGAAGTTAAGAAAAGGCAAAAAGGGTCTTGCCAAATTGTGGATATTTTCAGCATTGCCTCGATCTAGCCGTCTGTATTTAGGAACATAGGAGATAAAAACATCCAATTTGGAACGAAAGGTCGTGAAAACTATACGCAAATGAAATTATGAATTTATTTACATTAAAAAAGATTTTGGAATATTCTTGATAGGCTGTATGTGAGGAAATATGTAACTGTCGCCTAGTTGAGTGCTTTTGGGTAATTTTATAAAAATATTTTCAACATAAAGTTGGCATTACTATGGTAATGAGTAGGTGCAGAAATTATTGCTTCAATCATAAATTAACAACAGTTCGTTATTATGGAAAAAAAAATTATAAATTACTAATGCATTATTTCCTATTTTACGAAGAGCACGAGATATCCAAAGAAAAAGATTCTTGCTGTACCTAAAATTTAGCTTTAAAAAAATGTTTAGCTTTTTTTGGCTTCTCGCGCGTTGACAGCACTGAAATTTATTGCAGACGTGCCAAGGAAATGGGGAACCTTTAATAAAAAGCGTGGGCAGGTCATGAGATCATTGATTGAAGTCATATTTTTCGCCAACTGCAGAACTGTAGCCCGTTATGCAATATGCAAATGAGTCATTTAGTATGCAAAATGACAACAGCAATTTGTTCAATACTTTTTCTTTTTCGCAATTGCACAACACTTCATTAGCACATTTTCAACGCAGGCAATACATATGAGCTTGTCGATACACATGAGAAGAATGTTGCCTGTGCGACGTGCTAACTAAATGTAATTTATTATTTTTTTAAATTTATATTTGTTTATTGAGCATCCGTCAATTTGCGCCTCGAGTGCCAACACCTACCTAACTGCGTGTGTATCCAACAGATACTAGTACATCTTCTTTCATACAATTTGTAGCTGGAAGCATTTGACAGTGCGTCAAAAAAGGTGGATCAAAAACAAGAAAAATTCAAGTTTCGTCTAACTATTTCGGTTCAAGGTGAACCAGTTACGTCACGCAGTCGCTCATTCAGTTGGCGACCCGAATACACGCTGTGGTCATTGTTCACAGAATTTGATTAAAATTTATTAACTAATTTAGGCGCTCAAGCCAACATGAACAACAATAACACTGACAATAACAATAGCAACATCACACGCCTGTCACATTGTCGCTTGCCGAATTTTTCGGGCATGTTTCTTTAGCCATGTGCCCTCCGGCTGACAACTCAATGCCCGACACGAGCATGACTCGCTTTAACTGAATTTTGTGGGTGTGTACAGTGAGTACCCCCTTTCATTTACTTGAAATTTATTGGGGATCTACTAAAGTATAAATAAATCAATGTTGCTCTCTAATTAAGATTTGTAGAATCAACCAGTCGGCATCTCATGACTGCGAAATGCTCTGTTTCAGGTGTAATAATTGCTATGAGCAGGTGGAAAAATTGTTCTTAATTTCGACTGCTCGAAGTGGGCGTGGTAATAATATTTTATATGTTTACATTTTTTAAGAAGTTTTCAGCGGATAAATTAAATAATTATACACTGTAGATTTTGTGCGATTTGTCGGTGTGGTTGTGGGCGTGGCAAAAATTGTATATTCGCTATACTATCAGGTTTTTCTGCAAATATATGAAACAGGCAGGAGAAAGTATCTCCGACTACATAAAGTATATACGTATAAGTTTAATCAGGATGAAAAGGTGGGTCGGTTTGTCCGCCTGTGTGATCTGTGTTGATCTCGGAAACTATTAAAGCTAGTCTTCAGATTTTAAAACTAAATATTATAGTATACCATGCAAAATTAGTCTACCGTATGTCTATCTGTTTGGTTCGGTGCAAATTAGTCTCAGTTTTAAAGATAACTTAATAAAATTTCATTAAGTTTGAAATTTGTATGCCATCCAATGGCATAAGGTTTTTGTGCAAATGAATGAAACAGACAGAAAGAAGTATCTCCGAGCATATAAATTATATACATACATCCGACCAAATAAAGTATATGCATACATTTACTTTGGATCAGGAGGAAGAGATGAGTCGGTTTGTGCGGCTATGTGAACGCGTTGATCTCCATAACTACAAAAGACAGTCTTCAGATTTTATTTACGATTATTATTTCTTTATATGTCTCGTCCCATTTCCATAATATCGCTCAAAATCATTTGATGTTTGTTAAGTTAGCTCGACTCTGGGCACCCTGTATCTCCTAGTCGAGTACTTTCAAGTAGATCATTTTTACTTCTAAAATTTTTGCAGGCAGTGTATATTTATGAGTCTATCGAATTAATTTATCATATGCCTCCTATGGCCAGCTAAATTACCATATATACATTTCAAAATAATTTGTACACTTGTCTGGCCATGATCCAGTCCTGACATCGAGCTGGCGGCGCCTCAGTTGACAGCTGTAACTCGGCTCGTTATGTCTGGCAATTAACAAAGTGAATGGATAAACGCAAAATTGGCGCTGTTAGGTGTTTAAATTAGAAAGGATATGGCAAGGTGAAAGTGGGCTAGAAGACGGTCGCTTGTCAGCTGCAAATCTAACTGAACTTGGCATTGACAATTGCCAATTGCCAGTTTGGTGCACGCAAAAGTATCTTGGCCAACTCACAGGCCAGCGCGGCAATTTAAATAAAATTATATAATTTATTGATGCAAAATTTTTAACGCTGAAATATAAACGGGGCTGAGACACCCCTTCCGCCCCTTCTCAACAAGTAATTTTCATGGCCGTGCGCAATTCCCGAATTCGCACGTTTTGTTTTTAGCTGATATGCAAAGCGATATGCAAATTTCAATGCCAGAGAATGTAGATAACAAAATAAATTGAGCTTCGCATCGATTAAACTGATGCGAAGACATTGAAAAAAAAAACAAATAACTCACCTTCAATAGGTATGAATTAATCCAATTAGTGAATGTCTTCTTCTGCACACGTTCTTGCTCCTCTGCAATGAAAATGAAAAAAAAAAAAACGTGAATGTCGAAAGGAAAACATAAGAAAATTGTGTATACAGTTTCGATGTTATTGTAATTAAACGTAAGACAAGCGAAAATTGCCTGCCAAGTCGCCGAAGACGGCGGCATTGAAAGGCGACGCCCACAAACAAGATACCGTCTAAAGACAAGCGATAAGATACATTTGCCCAGTAAGTGGATAGCCAGGTCAGAAAGTTGCCGACACATGTAGCTAATGTTTGCATTAATTGAATTATCAGTAATTTAGAGTGTGTATTAACTGAAATTAACACAACGATGACATCATGTTGGCCCCAAATGCTAACAGCTCAGATACGCTGTAAAATTGAACTTTTAAAACTCACCTTTGTAATAATTAATATAAAATGTTATTAACCTTTTCCCTTGTGCGTCAAGCAACGCGCGCAATTTATTAACATAAACATTTACTCATTTTCAACAGATTTTCTTGATTACCTCCATTTAATCCTTAGCACACCGAATTGAAAGCATAAACAATGCATTAAAAAACAGCAATTTGTAAATAATTAACAAATCAAAAACGGACAAAGAACAATAAATATAGGTACACATACATTTGCCTATGGCTGTGATTCATTTTTGGGGAAGAGTACAGCTCTGATGGCTAGCCGAATGGCTTCTTGGCTGTCATAAAGCGGCAGCTGTCCAAGCATACCCATCATGCCCCATCAAAATCGTACCCCGAAATCCCTGTTTCGGCACAAAACAAATATGACATAGTGCGTGGTCTTTCTCTCAAATATTGGCGGCTGGCCAAACGCATGTCTATAATATGCAACAGAAATAGATTTCCCGCAACAAAATACCAACATTTTTCAAAATGGAAAACTTTCTGCAATTTGTACAAATCAAATTATGGAGAATCAAACAAACAAACATACAAAATCTCGAGTAATTTGACAGACTTGTGCTGCATTCGAATGTCAACAATTTGTAAATAATTGTTGCCGCAATTTACAATGCATGGCAAATTTGATTACGCGTTCAAATAAATGATAATTAGAAAAATTTGTTTTTTTCTTAAAATTTTCAAATAAATTGTGTTCAAGCTGCGCGTGTGACGCAATTTTCTGCAGATGAAAACTTGACAAGAGATTATTTAAATAGAAATTAGTTCAAGGTTGAGCGATTTGCAAGCAACTGAAAGTCACACAAGCATAGTATATATCCATCTCTATATATACGAATAGGTATATCTAATATTGAATAAGATTTAAGCAATGAAATTGCAACATTTTGCAGACTTATCTTAATATATCTCACACCCAAGAAAATGAAAGCAAATCAAGAAAATGAACTTGACATTTATATCAAAACGTATCTGCAATAAACTAAAGAGGTTTCTAATAGTTTTAAGTATTTTATGTATTAAGTTCTACACCAAATACATGTCTTTAACAATTAAATAATTAATGGGACAAGTTAATTATCATCTAGAAAAACATTCTTAAATCGTTAATTCTCAATTCTAAAAGCTGCATTTAAAGATATTATCTGGTTTTACTCGTAACTTGTTTATTAATATATAATTTTCAAGAACGAGATTTGAAATAAGTTTTTACATAAGCTTATTAAAAAATCAACACTAACAAAGGAAATTTCTCAATAGGGCAACAATGAAAAATTGTTCTCTAATTCTCTAAATTATTTTAAGGCCAAAAATGAATTTTGTCCAGCTTCCACACACATGTGTGTATATTTATTTTGATGGTCACAAATTTGATGTCCAAAATAAAGTTGTTGTCGCCAAAATTTTTGCCTGGCTACCTACTCGTCTTGCAAATTAATTAAACCTGAATTTGGTGTTCCAAAAACCGACGCAATGGGAATAAATTAAAGTCAGCCAAAAGCGGTTATAGCTTTATCGGCATTTACTTGTTTTTATTTTCTGATTTGAAAACTAGTTAACAATTAAGTGTACATATGTATATGCATATGTGTATGTGTACGCAACTCTATATACGTATGGTGTGATTCCAAAAATAAATGTATACCCAAAAATGTTGATAAGTTTATTGTTTGTTGTTCATTGTTCTGTAAAATCACAATTCGTGTGTGCATTATAAATGTTTCTAATCAACAAATACTTTCGCTAATTGTTGCAAAGATAAGAAAGAAGAATGCACTTGAAACCAAATACCAGATAGCACAAATTAAAGCTACATACAATAAAAAATAAAAAAAATAAACAAGAAACGCGAAAGTAAAGGAATCATCGGTAAGCTGAAGATTTTTAGTATCAGCTCTGATTACAAATATATAAAGGAAGGAAACTATGTCCATAAGTTTTTATTTTTTTTCGGTAGTTTTATGTTAGGCCTCATTTATATGTCTTGTCAAGGCAAATAATTTTTAAGTACGTAAGTCACAACTAATAAAAGTTCAGGCTTAAAATGTGCCATATACTTTTTAATTTATTTACAACAATTTACACTAGCTTTTGCCTAAAACTTTTGTGAGGCGTGACTGTAGATACAGTAAATAAATAAAAACAACTACTTATTATCCCAAAAATTGAATTTCAAGCTGTAAACTTATGCAAGAATTGCATTTGTTCGTAAAAAAATTAAGTACACAGAAGATTTAGGGCAGGCGGAAATAACCTATAATTAAATATAAACGCAATTATAATTGTTTAGCTTTACCTAAAACAATTAGGCAACTAATTCAAATGGAAATAAAAAGTGAGAGCAGAGAAATATTCGATATTTACACACGATCGAGCCACACACAAACCATGGCGAAATGCTAAGAACAATTAACAGAGAAATGTGGGTTAGGACCTATATAAACGACAGAAGCGTTTAGGTTGATTGACTTCTGGGTATCTTGTAAATTTCAATTTCTAACCATGTAAAAAACCGATCGACAAGGCAAAGAAACAAAAACGCTGAAAATGCTTAAGAAAATAAGTAAGAATGCTCTGGTCGGGAGTTCCCGAATAGGGGATACCCTGAACCTTTTACAACCAACACCAAATGCAGCTCTAGGTAAAGGCTGGGGGGGGGTGACGATAGCAATAAAATGGAATATACTTGATATATATATGTATGTATATTATACTATTCTAGAAGCTACATGTAAAATTTGGAAACTCTAGCTCTTAAAACCTAAGAGTTTTGCTCAAGCAACAGGATTTAGATTTTTATCGATTGCTTAGAAACGGGACAAGTTATCGCTTATCGGAAACAAGCTCGTACTGCGCGGGCGCTAGGAGGACTTACGATTCTAGTCTCTAACTCTTATTGATTGTGAGATTCTTGCATTCATACATATGGACAGACAAGACTAGATCGACTTGGCTATAGAATCTGACCAAGAATATCAAATACTTTAAATACTTTCGTCCTGTTACATACATTTACACAAAAACAGTATACCCTTGTTAAACATTTTGAATGGGTTTAGGGTATAATAACCCACGGGCAAAGCTTAAGACCAAGCAACATAAATTATTCAAAGAACGACCGAAAAAGAAAACAAACAATAACAAAAAACAAAAAAGTCGAACCGCAGTCTTTTGTATACAGATATTTTTCAATGGTTCACTCAGTCAGTAAGTTAATGAACATAATTATAATGATGCGGCGGCAGCTGATTATTATTTACGCTTTTTTTCGGCTGCTCTAATGAGCTCTGCGCAGTTAAATTGTGCTTAACTGAATAGAAATATATCTACATTTAAGTTGCAAACTTTTAACGATATTTGTATATTTTTTTTAACAATTTTATTAGGCGTGAAAAACTTTGTGAAACATTTACTGAAAGTCAGCAGAAGAGTAAAAGTTGCAGAAACAGTTAGTAAAAGTTTGAAGCTGTCTCCGTTATGTCTGAGTTGGCCTAGTTGCACACACAAACACACACACGAATAGAAAAGCAATTACAAACTTTAAAAATGTGCAAATAATGTGTAAAAATGGTTTATTTACGTTTATGCACAGCCCAATTGTTTGGGTTTCCCCCACAAAGCCACAAAATTGTTCGCATTTGCATAAACAAAATACCATCGAACATGTTGTAAATGCGTCTGCCCAAAGAGTTGCGAGCCCAAGGGTGACTGCGGGGGGATTAAAATGGTATATATGGTTTTTGGAAGATATTAACCATATGCTAACGGATATGCCGTATGTAGGAATGTGCAGCATTTCCGCGGCTATAAATAATTGTTTATTTTCTTTAAAATGCCGCTGCGGCGAGTGTTTGCCGAGTTTATTGCACAGAAATCAAGATGCTTTAAAATGTTTAAGATTTATGTTAATCTTACATAATTACTAACAGTATTTTTATAGTAGAGGGTATTAAAATTGTTTCAAGCAATGTGAAGGAGAGATCTCCGACCCCATAAAGTATATATGTTCTAGATCAGCATCAACAGCCGAGTCGATATAGCCATGTCCGTCTATTTCTATGCGAACTATTCTCTCAGTTTTAAAGCTATCACCTTTAAACATAACTCCGCATTTCTGTTGCAGGAAATACATATATCGGCAACGGTTGGATCGGACTACTTTATCATATAGCTTACATAGGAACAATAGATCGAAAAGTAGGTTGTTGTATGGACAACTTTTTTGTTTTTCCAGATATCTTGACCAAACCAAATTTGGTCCACTATATCGTATACCTGCCACAGGAACGATTGGTCGAAATGTAGATTCTAGTATGGCAAAATATTCTATTTTCCAAGATATTTTCATCAAACTCATCATTTACAAGCTTATAATAAGATAAATCATTTATTTAAATGGCAAGACAATTTTTTAATACATATGAAAATATGTAATCAAAATGAGTTCCTAAAACTACCATTGCTCTTAGGACAGAAAAAGTTTTCTTAAAAATTCCATTGCCCTTTGAGCAGCTCATTAAATTATGCCTAAGAATATCTTCCAATCTATTTCCTCAAGTTTTGTGGTGTCATTTAATGTATAAACCCTTGAAAAATTCT